TGTGGCCCTCTTGTTGGCCATACTGCCAGATATGGCCCCCCTTGTTGGCCATACTGCCAGATGTGGCCCCCTTGTTGGCCATACTGCCAGATATGGCCCCCTTGTTGGCCATACTGACAGATGTGGCCCCCTTGTTGGCCATGCTGCCAGATATGGTCCCCTTGTTGGCCATACTGCCAGATATGGCCCCCCTTGTTGGCCATACTGCCAGATATTGGGGTCTCTGCGATGACATCGGAGGATGACAGGATGACGTTATCTGTCCTATAGGCCCGCTGCCTTATTAAAAATATAATTCATTCTTAAATTTTATTTCCAAACAATTAAGTTGTCTGGAAAATTACAATTGGCCAGTGATAAGTGAGCGCCTTAAAAAAAAGTTTAATATACTGGATGGGTGATATCTTACAGATAAAATGATATCATTATTTTGTTAATTATTTCCTCAAATGACACTCAAGATACGTGTATAACATTTCCTCTTCACAATTAAGGTTACCAATTAAGTTCATCATTTTGCAGGTGACATAATACACAATCATACGAGCTGCTACATATATATTTGTCTGTAACACACAGTGTATGTAGCTGGCAGTGTTTAACACCCAGGTACCCCTTTACTACTAGGTCAACAGAGGCATTAGGTGAAAGAAGCCATGCCCAGTTGCTTCTGCCTCGGTCGGAAATCGAACCTCCTCTGCCTCTGGACTGAAACTGCCGAGAGCGCTCTCTACTCGGCCGTGAGGACGTGTGTCTGTAAACATCCCAGCGGGTTTTCTTCCTATTGGGGAGTGTTGTGCATGCTGCTATGGCGGTGTGTCTACTCACAGGATGAGTGGCGCTGCCCAATACTGTCACTATGGCGGTGTGTCCACTCACAGGATGAGTGGCGCTGCCCAATACTGTCACTATGGCGGTGTGTCCACTCACAGGATGAGTGGCGCTGCCCAATACTGTCACTATGGCGGTGTGTCCACTCACAAGATGAGTGGCGCTGCCCAATAAACTCGCCCCTCGGGGCAAAATTTAAAATTTAATTACTGCCCATCCGCCTGTTTAGTTTATGCTTATAGTAACGATGAAGACCATAGTACATATATGACATAATGGACAATTAGAAAGTAGAAATCATTATTGAATTTGGACAAACCACAAAATATTTTGTTTTTATGTTGAAAAAAAAGAGCTTAATCTAACCTTCGTATGTGTAATACACGCCATGTGAGGCCTAATATAGTACATATATGTGCTATACTAGGCCTATACCAGACATATTCTATACTATACCTATAATATACTAAAATCCCTATAGTGTTAGGATTATGTCTACTCCCTCTCTTTCTCACATTGTTTCTTGCAATTGCCTTCCTCTTATGGCATAGTTAAATACAGGTTTCCTGTCTCCCTTCACCACTTTCATTATTTTACACTTGGTGGAAATGAATCCCAGCGACCATCAGCCCACTTCTTAAGTTTGTCAAGGTCTTCTTGCAACATCCTACATTCCTCTTCATTTCTTACTCTCCTCATTAACTTTGCATCTTCTGCAAACATTGACATGTATGAGCTGACTCTTTCTGTGAAGTCATTTACATAGATTAAAAAGAACAATTGATCTAGGACAGAGCCCTGTGGAACACTTTTTTCCATTTCTCTCGAGCTTGACATATCCTCTGACTCTGACCCTTTGTTTCCCGTCCATCAAGTACCCCAGTGCCCAGTCCAGCGCCTTGCCTGTTATCCCCGCTTGTCTCACCACTTATACTTTATGAGGAACTGTATTAAAAGATTTCTGGTATTCTAGGAAGATGTATCTATCATTCCTAGACTGCTATTTCTATCTATCATTCCCCCCTCTCGTCTTATTTTTAGCTTGGATCTATATATATCCTCTTGCCTTCTTGTTCCTAAAGCTAAGGAAGCAAAGATGCCGATAAGATATTAGAAAGTTGTCTTTTGTAAACAGTTGTAGACGGTTGGAACCAACTTATCCTCCTCTTTAGATAGTACTTTTTGTAACTATGTGCACCATGTTACAAATATTGACGTAAAAGACAATTAGATAGCAGAACTTAATACTGTTCACTTTATTGAGTCCGAACAAAATAAAGCTAAAACACAAACAATTATTACTACGCCTAGTAGTAAATAATTATCGAAAGAAAGCACCAAGCCGGGAAGGCTATGGCGAACAATATCAAAAGTATCCGATTCACCAAGAAGTCCGGCGAGGGACAAGTGACCGCGAGGGACGGTCGAAAAGCACGACACACGCTCGTCCTGGAAGTCAGGACATTCAACAAGGATATGCACTACTGTAAGAGGGACAATGCAGTTTGGACAATAAGGAGCAGGGCAGCGCTCCATTAAGTGTCCATGAGTTAAACGTGTATGGCCGATACGCAACCTTGCCAGAGCCGTTTCCCACCGCCGGTTATTGTGGGAGGAGGAAGACCACGGGTACACACTACTCAATTAATCAATTTCTCTAACCGATTGGAGAAATATTGGTAATACTAACCGAAAGATAATTTTGCAGCCGAAACAACTGAACAGAAAGAGGGAGGCGGTGAAGAGGTACAGGAACTATAGGAGGGGTAAAAGTCAAAGCCAGGGTAGGTTGATACGTAGGAGAAGCTGTCACCCATCCAGCAGGACCCCCCCCCCCCCTCTCCACGGCGCTGATAGTCTCCAATGGAAAGACAAACTCCAATACGATTGGATTTTGGATTCTATTTGTTAACTACCCTGACACTGAACAAATTCTTTCTAATATCTCTGTGGGTCATTTAGGTACTAAGCTTCAATCTGTGTCCCCTTGTTCGTGTTCCTCCCAAACGTACAAGGTCCTGAGGGGAAATAGACAAAGTTGACAAAGGAATCATATTTAAATTAAAAAGAGATAGGACAAGGAGGACATCAGTGGAAGCTGGACAAGCATTTGAGTGGAAGTTGTAAAGAAGCTCTGGTTCCCTGTACGGATGGCCGGCAACTGGAACACTGAAGGAAGAGGTTGTTGAAGCCATTACCATCCTCAACTTTGGGAATAATATGATGAAAACGTTAATGTGGAGAGAGGTAATTAACGCGCCAGGTGGTGGGGCATAAAGAGCTAGATCTCACTCCATAATCACTGATAGGTAAACGTCATACATACACACACCAGCTATACAGTTCTCTCGTGATCCATATATTGATTTGAGCGATAGTAAATAATTCACGCTGCTGTGCCGTTCACAGGAACAAATTACCATGTTATCAAATTTTAATAATTAGGATTACTGTTAGCGGTGTGTAATTACGAGCAGTAACACAATGGAGAAGTAGAGCGGGTGTGTGTGTGTGGGAGGACTGGCTGGGGCGCCAGCTACCAGTTATGGCCGCCAACTTAGATGCTGACGGCTGTGTCACATCTTATGTGCGTCTTCCGGCGGGTACAGCTGTTGCTGCCTGCCAAGCTAAGCAACTGTTCCCTGATGCACCACTAGCAAAGGTGTAGCAGGGAGCAGCCGGTTGTTACACATGTTTGCGCACATGATGCCCACTAAACAAATCAGTCAGCAACACAATATACAAGTATTCATTAGAGCTTTGTAACGAGGATGAATAAAATGCATTAAGCAAAGTAGATATAAAATGTACAGTAATTTAACAGGTCTCTGAGGTATTACTTATATCATTCAACGGAAGTCTTAATATGAGACCTTGCAGATTTTATACGTATACGTATTCAATTTCAACAATAAGAGGAATCAACTGGGAAAAAATTAATAAATATAGATCTTGCACACATTCATTGGAAGACCGTCTTAAGCGATAAAAATCCCACACAGGGAACAGCTCAACTGACAGCTGAAGCTTACAAGTTCTGCTTGAAGCACGTGCCTGTGAGGTGCCTACACAGAGGACAACAAAGAAATTAGTGAAATTCTAAGAGGTCAGTATGTGGCTATGTTTAGCACCCCAATAAACAACATGAAAGTTGGAAATCCAGACAGCTTTATAATATAATTGATATTAACACGAACTCGGAAACTTTGAAAGGTAAATTGACAACATGCCCTACACTGAGCCCCTGGTCCTGACTCATGGAATTCCATATTCATAAAGAAATGTAAAGTACCAGTAGCGCAAATGCTCAGTTTAATATGGAGAAAGAGCCTGGTTACAAGGGAGATACCAGCAGCACTTAAATCAGCAGATATACAATACAATACAATACAATTTTATTTAGGTAAGGTACATACATACAATAAATTTTTACAAGGATTGGTTGACTTATAGGTAGAGCTAGTACATACAATGCCTAAAGCCACTATTACGCAAAGCGTTTCGGGCATAAATCTATATATCTCCGCTGCACAAGGGAGGTAGTAAAGCTTTGACATAAAATTCGTAACACATAATAAAAGTTTTTGAAAGAGTGATTAAGAACCAAATTTCTAGTTTTATGGAAAATAATGAACTACACACTACACACAGCAGGTGTACACCTGCTGTGTGTGTGTGTGTGTGTGCACCTACTGGTCATGGTTGGGGGGAAGGAGGGGGTTATGGTTGGGGGGAAGGAGGGGGGTTATGGTTGGGGGGAAGGAGGGGGGGTTATGGTTGGGGGGAAGGAGGGGGGTTATGGTTGGGGGGAAGGAGGGGGTTATGGTTGAGGGGAAGGAGGGGGTTATGGTTGGGGAAAGAAGAGGGTTATGGTTGGGGGGAAGGAGGGGGTTATGGTTGGGGGGAAGGAGGGGGTTATGGTTGGGGAAAGAAGAGGGTTATGGTTGGGGAAAGAAGAGGGTTATGGTTGGGGAAAGAAGAGGGTTATGGTTGGGTGGAAGGAGGGGGGGTTATGGTTGGGGAAAGAAGGGGTTATGTTTGAGGGAAGGAGGGTTTATGGTTGTGGGGAAGGACGGTTTATGGATGGCGGGGGGGGGAGGGGGTTATTTTCTACTCTCCATCACTCATCACCAACCCACTTCACCTAACTACACTCTTTCTTTCCCCAGGCACTGGCACTTTTGGGCGTGTATGTCTGTGTCGTGACAAGGTGACATCACAGTATCTAGCCATGAAGATCCTGGCAATCACTGATGTCATCAGGCTAAAACAAGTAGAACACGTAAAGAACGAGAAGAACATCCTACGTTTGGTCACTCACCCCTTCATTATTGAAATGTGAGTATGGCACTTGCTCACTCGGAACTTGAATTGCATATTAATATGTTGGGTTCAGTTATCTGGTGCAGTTCTCTTCTTCGGGGGTTTCTGGTTACTGCTCCCCTCCTCTTGTGGGTCCCCTTTTTGTTTTGTTCTCCTGGAGAGATAGCACCAGAGATCTGCCAAAGGGTACCCCTTAGAAATCTGATTTTGAATGTAATGAAATGACTATTTCTGGTGGACCCCTCAGTGGTTCCCTATTCCCACTTCCGCTTTTCAGGCGCTTCAATTCTTTTGAGTGACATATGACTTATCTGGTGTTGCCGGTCGGTCTCCGAGGTCCAGAGGCCATCACCTGGCAAAAAGTATAACTATTAATGCTAACAACCTAATTACTGTGTCTATAGTTGTCAGGTTTGTTTCTATTTTCCTGGCAGTTGAAGGTTTTAGTGCACTCTACCTTTTTGGTGGATTTTCCCTTGGGATGATCTAGTCTCCCAGCTGCATATGCCTATATTGTGTGTACCAGATTTTGTCTCTGGTCCCTGGTAGGCATTTATTTACCTGAGGGCCACTAACACTAATGGCCTAAGCAAGAACAGGAAGTTGCCAATATGTCAAAGGTTCCCCCCAGTTATCCTGATGACTTTTTATAACTGGATTATACAACTTAACAGTGTTTTGGCATTTATGGCTTCAGCGAGTAGGCGATTCCATGGGTTTATAACCCAATGGGTGAAAAAGCATCTCCTGTTTTCTGCCATACATTGTGGCTTGTTGAGCTTGAAACTTTTCCTCCTTGTTTTACATCAATACTTTTGAAGTTTTCTGAATCAATAACCTGCAAAATGTTCAGTATCTTTAAAATTTCGATGAGATCTGTCCTGTCAAGTCTGGTTTGCAGTGTTGTTATCCTTGTGGCCCTTAACCATTCCTGGTACTGTATGAGAATCAACTTAGTTTTGGAATTATTTTTGCTGCATGGTGTTGAATTTGCTCCAAAGCTGTTATGTCTTCTGAAGATGAGGTTTCCATGCTTGGATACAATAATCTAAGTAGGGGCACATGAGAAATGTATACAGTTGAATAACTACCCTCTTTTCCTTAAAGTCAAAGGTTTGCTCGATTATTTCTTGGGTTTGATTAGCCCTCTTTACTTCAGCTCCCACTTGTTATGCAACTTTAAATGAATGATGGATTCTTACTCCAAGGTCCTTTTCTTCATCAATTTGCTACAAGGTAATGTTATTAATTTGGTAGTTGTGACGTGGACTGTTATACCCCACGTACAAGGGCTTGTATTTTCGATATTTACTTTTTTTTTTATGTATCCTCATGGTGCAGTGGTTAAAACCACTCACTCGGTGTTTTGCAAGCGCTTTGGCCTGGGTTCGTACCCTGGTTAGGGAGGATTTACTTGGTGCCAATTCTTAACAGTTGTTAATTGTTGTTAAACAATTTGGCGGGTCATATTCTGGGGAAAATTAGGATTAAGGACTTGCTCAAAATGTTATGCATGCTAGTGGCTGTACAAGAATGTAAGAACTCTTGTATAAATAAATAAATATTAAAAAGCATTTGCCAGTCTTCAGATCACTTGTGGAGTTTATGTAAATTTCTTTGTAAGGTTTCAATATCATTTTCACTTCCCACTCTACCATAAATCTTAGTGTCATCTGGAAATTTTATGATGTGGTTTGTAATGTAAAATGTGGTTTGTAAAATACTGAACAATTTAGAGAATGTTGATTTGGCAAATTTGTTCAAAAGGTCAGATGTAAAACAAACAAGGAGCAACGGTTTCAAGCTCAACAAGCCACAATGTAGGACTGGAAACAGGAGATTCTTTTTCACCCACAGGGTTATAAACCCATGGAACTGCCTACCCGCCAAAACCATAAATGCCAAAACTCTGTTGAACTTTAAAATCCAGCTTGAAAAATCATCAGGACAATGGTTGAATCTTTGACAAACTACCAGCTTTCTGTCCTCATTGAGGCCACCAGTGTGTTAGTGGCCCTCAGGTAAATTCAGATAGAAATTCATCATCATTGACTTTTAGAAGTGTTTCTTTAATTGTAATCCATCTTAAAATACTAAAATAGCCTTGTTTTTAGTACCACCTCTGCTACCACAGGGCTTACTTTTGGTGTTTCTTTCAGGTACTGGCATTATCGGGATGACCGCTTTCTCTACATGCTATTTGAGTATGTTTGTGGTGGGGAACTTTTTGCATACCTCAGAAATGCTGGCAAGTTTCCTATGACAACAGGTGATTACTGGACATTTTTTTCTCTAATGTAGCTTATTTGTAGCATTGACTGAAGTATAAATTAATATGCATCATGTCAGATGTTCTGTAGATTACCTTTAAAAGAATTACTTATATCTAATTGTTAATTAAGTATTGAGCCTTCAAAATATTTATACCATACAAATGTTTAACATGAACATGAAAAAACATAGGATTGTCCTAGTTACAAAAGAAGAGGTTAAGAGATACTTATCAATGCATACCAATACAGTACGAAGAGCCAAAATTTCCTTTTATGAGAATAGATTTAAAGGAGCAAAAGGAAATATGAAAAGAACCGGTACATGGAAATCCATCTCTAACATCCTAGGATCTAAACAACAATCACATAACAAGCAGATAACTCTCCAAAGATGGTTACATACTTCCAACAGACTTAGAAATGGCAACTGAATTTAATAGCTTCTTTTCATCAATTGCTGCTAACCTTGGCAGAAAAATCCCAGAGACCCAGATACATGTTACTACATATCTAACCAGCAGTTATCCTAACTTTCTACTCCTTTTACCAGTCAGCCCGACAGGCATCATATCCATAATTCAATCACTTAAAACCAAAGCTGGAAATATTAATGAAATACCATCTATGGTATATATGAGTGCTGTGGTATATATAAGTATATATAGTGGTATATAAGAGTGCTGCCCCCTGCTCTTGCACTACCCATAGCTTGGCTATTCAACAAATCTCTCAAGTGTCATACTTTTCCTGATATTCTTAAAAAAGTAAAAGTACTGCTAGTTCATAAAGGAGGCAAGACAGCTGACTTAAACAATTACAGACCAATATCAAATCTACCTATACTTTTCAAAAATATTTGTAAAAATTATTTACAAACAGCTTTATTCCTGCTTTGTAAAACTCAACATATTAAGTCCCTGCCAGTTTGGCTTCCGTTCCCAAAAGAGTACCACTGATGCCATTATTGGTCTGCTTAATATATTCTACACAGCCCTTAACAAAAATGAGTTCCCAATTGGCCTTTGATAATGTAAATCATAACTACGTCTTACTTAAACTTCACCACTATAGTATCCTATGCCTTGCTCAGAACTATATTATTCCTATATCAGTAACAGACACCAACATGTAGCCACCTAAAACATAACCTTCCCCACTCTGCCATTAACAGCAGGAGTGCTACAGGGCAGCATCCTAGGACCTCTCCTATTTCTTATATACCTTCTTGATAGGGTTCTGGGAGTTCTTCTACTCCCCAAGCCCAGCCCGAGGCCAGGCTTGACTTGTGAGAGCTTTGTCCACTAGGCTGTTGCTTCCAGCGGCCCGCAGGTCCACATACCCACCACAGCCCGGTTGGTCCGGCACTCCTTGGAGGAAACTATCTAGTTTCCTCTTGAAGATGTCCACGGTTGTTCGGCAATATTTCTTGTGCTCGCTGGGAGGATGTTGAACAACTGTGGACCTCTGATGTTTAAACAGTTCTCTCTAATTGTGCCTATGGCACCCCTGCTCTTCACTGGTTCTATTCTGCATTTTCTTCCATATCGTTCACTCCAGTATGTTGTTATTTTACTGTGCAGATTTGGGTACATCAATGATTTGCCAATGATGTACACTACAGTATATACAGTACATCAATGATTTGCCAAATGTTTCTAACAGTCTTAAACCTATACTATTTGCTAAAGATACTATCTTCATCTATTCTGACTCCAACCCCCACACACTAAATAATATTGTAAATAATGAATTAAAAAAAGTCCATTCATGATTGTCAACCAACAAACCTACTACTAAACATAGAAAAGACCTACTACATTTTATATGGTAGTAAATCATTAAATCAAATTCAACTTCAGTTAGACAATGTTGACATTAGCACTAAAAATGAGGGGGAAGTTCTTGGCCTATACATATACAAGAGACTGAACTTCAGCTCCCACATACAACACATAACCAAAAAAGTTGCAAAAATGGCTGGTATACTTCTAAAATCAGATATTATATTATGTTCCCCACTCTGCTCTCCTCTCATTATACTACGCACTAATCTATCCCTATCTTACATACGGTATCTGTGCATGGGGTTCAACCACTACAAATTACCTCAAGCCCATCATCATCACTCAACAAAAATCTGCTTTCAGAACTATAACAAACTCTGTCTTCAGACACTGCACACCTCCTCTGTTTAAGACCCTTTATTAACATGCTAAATATACACTCGCTTCACACATTCTTTTGTGCTAGTTACATGTACAAAACCTTGTTCCTAAATGCTAATCTTAATTTTAAATTTTTCCTTGATAGGTGTAATAGAATCCATGAGCACCACACCAGAAATAAATCTCTCTTTGATATCCTCCCGAGTCAAACCAAATCTGTGTAAACACTCCATGCATGCAAATTAAAGGTCCCAGTCTATGGAACTCACTCCCTAATGAATTAAAAATTGTCCAACTTATGCCTTATTCAAAAGTAAAACAAAAAAGTACCTAATATCATCCTCATTGTTTCCTACCTTGTGCTTCAAACTCACACTGTATAGTTGTATTACCCACTTCCCAATACTAGTACTTAAGACTAATTAAGTAGTACTTAATCTTTACCAGTGTAATCACCTCTGTATATTAAGGTGTATATTGTTGATATAAAACCTTGCTACAATGTACTTTTTCATCTTACCTGATATGTTAGATTAAAGACCTGCCCAAAATGCTAAGCGTGTTAGTGGCTTTGCAATAATGTAAAAATATCACTTTAATATAATCTCACCAACCCATTATACCATCTTGTAAATAAAATATTATTATTATTATGATTCGTCACTCACTACATTCTGACCCGGTACAAAGAGATCTCTGAACTTTCCTCTCAGATTATTGAACACATTCCTTACTTTCCACAGTCTATCATTTGTAACCATGTTATAATTAGTTTAAATTGAAGATACTTTAGAAGTAGAATAAACCTGTTGCAAGATGTATTTCCTGGGAAATGGAGTTGAAATAATGCTGTCTTTATTCCAATAATCCTGTATGACATGTTTTACTGAATATTTCATCATACACAGATAAACAAATACATACATTTCAGGTACACTTGTGTCTTTCCAACATAGCAAATGTGAAGATGGTAATAAGACAACTGTAATTAACTGAACTGTGTAGCAATTGGCTTCTTCAATGAGATTTTTCATGAATGGTTCCTCAAAATGAGCCATACAGTACTCACTTTCATTCATATTTTCACCAGTACTTGGGAAAATGTCTGTAACACCTATACCAGTATCATCAAATGTAGGTAATTTTGGTACAAAAGTGTCACAATCGTCCCACCTGAAAACATTAGTGCTGCTTGTGATGGCACAAACACCACAAATACCAACAACACAGCTACCTCTTTTTATGATAAAACTGTTGGCTGGGAGATGAAACTCTTATATGTTGTATAGGGTGACCACAAACACTTAACCCTTAGACAGTGGCTATGGAAAAATGGTCATGCCTGCCTATGAGCAAAAAATTTGAAAATTCTAAAAAATAATTTTTATAGTAGAATTCTTAATTTGTATGCAAAATGTAAGAAAAACACTAAAATAAGGGAATATTTATCATTTTACTGGGTGGAGGCTGCATCAGGCACTTGTCAACATTTGGTGCTCGACTTTGCTGACACTTCCTGTTTTATCCTCCGATGTTTCATTGATTGTTTTATCACTTGTTTTTAATTATTTACATCCACAGAGAACTATTTTATCCATATTTGCATCATACATGCAAAACCTAGACAATAATTTTTTAATTTGTCTTATGGCAATGACTGCATTCCTCTAGTAACATTCATGATGATAGCCACATTCGTATCTGAAATGGTAGCAGGATTTTTTTTCATGGGCCAAGGTAAACTCCATTGCATCCACACGGACCCAATATATCTATAATTGCATCATACATGTAAAACCCAAACAATAATTGTTTAAATTGTCCTTTGATGATAACCACAGTCCCCTAGGGATCGTCAATAGACGATAATTGCAGCTTATTAAGGATTAAAGTTGAGGCCTCTCTTCCCTCAATTTCCCCATTGCTAATCACACTGTCACTTTGCAGGGTGAGCTACTAACACTGCAAACCTCTGCCTAGTAACACGATGAGAGGGGCAGCTATGCTACTAATATCCAAATCAATGTCACTGAACCCAGAAAAAAAAAGTCATCTTCCACATATTCATAGCATAGAGTAATGGCAGATGGAATACTCTGGGAGTGGTGTTGACCTGGGACGTGATGGCAACGGTGGTGGTGTAATCCTCGTGCTTAACATACTCACTGTATCGTTATCATGTATGTCCATATCACTTGTATCTAATCATTGTGTTGGGTGATTATTGGGTTTTGGGTCATGAACATCAATATTAAGGTCCTGTTCATACATCACATATTTCATTCTTTTTATTACGCAACCTGTGGGTGACCAGAAGCTAGATGCATGTTCATCAGCAAGAGTGCTCACTTGAAACTGAGCCTACCTGCAGCATTGGGGCATGCTAGAATTTTTTTTTTCAAGATGGCAGACATTTACTAGAGGTCTTGGGTGTCCATTTGCTAACTGGGTTACTGCACGCTAGTTTTGAATCATACCCTATACAGTACCAACAAAACTTTTCTCAATGAACACACCACCCCATCAACGGAAATATCTCGATGAGTGCAGTGCAGGGGTTAAAGCGGATAATGTGTTTATAGATATATAGTGGATAGTTATAAGACACAATAATAGATATCTTATATGATTTTTATGTACAGTAACTATAATAACGACAGGAAAACATCAACAAAACTAATGTTAAATGTCATTAAAATAAATTCAATTTTAAATACATTCAGTATACAATACTGTACTTTAATTACATTAACATTTGTCTAAATTGAGATGAAGATGACTAATTGTTGTGTTATCAAATATAATTATGATGAAATGATTGAATAGTAGTTTAATGTAAATTACCCTTCATATGATTTGATTTTCCTTAGCATCATTCTACGCATCAGAGATCGTGAGTGCCTTGGAGTACCTTCACTCTCTCTCTGTTGTATACAGAGATCTCAAGCCAGAGAACCTGTTGCTAGATCGAGATGGGCATCTCAAAATTACAGATTTTGGCTTTGCTAAGAAGCTCACTGACAGGTGTGTAAATCTGATCTTCATTCATCATACTAATAGAGCTTAAAGAAAATATTATGTATTGTATATTATTTATTTCTATGATTTCATTTTGAGTTTTGAATAATCTTATAGTGGTGAACAAATATTTTTCTGTACAAAATTTTATGCACTGAAGTTCACATTATGGTTCATGAAAACAAAGGTTTCATTAGGTTTTAACACAAAAAGATTTACTAAATAAATATTTTTGCATTATCACAAATTAAATTAAACTTTCTTTAATACTAAATACAGTATTTGAACCTAAATCTTGCCTTGGTATGAAAGCATTCCTGCATATTATTCGTTGAAGTGTTTGCTTTTAAATATTTTCAGAACGTGGACTCTTTGTGGCACACCAGAGTACCTGGCACCAGAGATCATCCAGAGCAAAGGTCACAACAAAGCTGTAGACTGGTGGGCACTAGGTTAGTCAATTTTAAAGATTCTTTGAAGAACTGTGTAAATAACAGTAAACATGCTGGCTCTTGGTTCTATAACTACTGGTGTATGAATACTCATGATGATTTGGAAATACAATCTTACTGCACTGTAGTTCAAAATCTTCCCTCAGAAGTTTTGATATCACTGAAAAGCTGACTGCATACTCTGAAAGGACATACCCAACCATCTTGCCTGAAAGCTATACCTTGCAATTTGTGGGTCAATATAACCAGCTGAGTTTTATGTATGAATTTAGTATTTTTGTTCATCGTGTCCCACCATAACCATAGGTTTTTTTGCATTTGAAATATAATGTAATTATCTGGATAAAGCACTAAGCCAGTTTGACTATACAGTAGCTCTAACCTTATTTTACTTCATGTTATAAGCTGGAAAAATAACATTTGTTTTGAAAAGTTAATAGTTTTTATGACTTTTGATCACAGGTATCCTTATATATGAAATGCTGGCTGGATACCCACCGTTTTTTGATGACAACCCTTTTGGTATATACGAAAAAATCTTGGGTGGGCGCGTAGAGTGGCCAAGGCACTTGGATACTTCAGCAAAGGATCTTATCAAGAAACTTCTAACTCAGGATCGTACAAAACGTCTTGGTAACATGAAGGTAACATGACACTTACTTCTGCCTGCATGTACTTTTCTGTGGTACATGCAAATCTTTCTTTATACCTCAATTTGAATTTGTTTTAAAGTTCGGGAACTGTTCATAGTTAGCCTCTTAATCACACTTCCTCCCTCAGTAGTACTTTCCCTCTCCTACAATTTATACCTTCTTCTCTATTTTACACTCTCCCTTTACATTGCATAGTACAGTACATATATTACACACAGAAATCACAATAGCGTGATGCATCATATGAACAGTTCAGTACATATATACTGTACGATCACTAAAGTATTATTCTCAAAAGTACACAGTGACTTGGGACAATTAATCCTTGGAGTATTGCAATCAAAAAAAGGTAAGAACACAGTTGTGTGGTGACCAGAGTTGGGTAAGAACACATGGCATTGTGTTGTTTTTTTCTAAAATTATAATTTCTTTTCCCAGAATGGGGCTGATGATGTCAAAAGACATAGATTTTTCAAGAATATTGATTGGGAAGATGTATATCATAAACAATTGAAGGTGAGTGTGAAATATTTATATATTACTAGAATTTCTTGTAGTTCAGATTGCTCACAATTGGGGATCTTGGGCTTGATTCCTAGGCAGGACACAAATGGTTGGGCATGTTTCCTTTCCACCCAGTACCTCTGTTCACCTTGCAGTAAATAGGAGTTAAGCATCTGTTGTGGGTTTCATTCTGGGGAGGGTCAGTAGTTCGACCTTGAGGAACTTTGATACAATACCTAAAGTTCTCTGACCTCACCCTTCATATCACATTTTGTGCCATTCTCCACTTCCAAGATTCTTTTTTAGTCTGGCTGTACCATATGATCCCCCTAAGTTCACCCTCAAACACCCTCTCAATAATTCAATAAAATAAAAGTTAATAAAACTATAAGATATTTTTATTTTTATAGATATATAGTGGATAGTTATAAGACACAATAATAGATATCTTATATGATTTTTATGTACAACTAAACTAAGATAAACAAGATAAAACAAGATAAATTATAAAAGATAAACAAGAGGTACAAGATAAACTATAAAAAAAATAAAAATAAAACTACAGACCATTACCCCACATTTCTCTTAACTAACATTAGCAAACCACCTCTTGAGTCAAGAGAGATACGTTTTAGACTACACAATGAAACTGCTATAGACAATTTTATAACTGCTACTGATAATGTCAACTGGGAGTCCGAGTTAGGTAACATAGAGGACATCAACCTAGCAGTTCAATCTTTTCTTCAAAAAACTCTTAGCCTTTATAATACCCACTGTCCTATGCTTACAAAACAAGTCACAACCAAAAGGCTTAACAATCCCTGGCTTACAAAGGGAATACTTAAATCTATTAATAAAAAACATGACCTTGAGAAGAAGTATAGGTTAGGAATTGTCTCCAAAGAATTCTCAAAGAATTACTCATTATTGCTATCTAAGATAATTAGACGAGCCAAAACTAAATACTACGAAGATAAATTTACCCAAATAAAGAGCAACATTAAACAAACTTGGAGAACAATTTCACAAATATTGGGATCAAAGAAGTCTTTAAATAACAAACCGACTCTCCTGTCTAATAACGATGGTCAGCTTTCAGCCTCTGATTCTGCTATTGAGTTCAATAGGTTCTTTTCTTCCATTGGTTCATCCCTTGCTAATGATATTCCATCTTCCAGTACTGACATTAAGGACTATCTTACAGGGAACTATCCCCAGTCTCTGTACCTAAAGCCTATTAATTCCACTGACGTCAATGAGATAATCCTTTCCCTTAAAACCAAGTCTGGTGCCCTTGAGGAGATACCAACTTTAATCTACAAAAAAGCCTCCAGATCTTTAGCCCCTGCTATTGCTTTGCTCTTCAACAAGTCACTTGAACTCCAAACCTTTCCAGATATTCTAAAAAAAGCGAGAGTAACGCCTGTCCACAAATGTGGTGATCTCACAGATGTTAACAACTACAGACCTATATCAATCCTGCCAAACTTGTCAAAAATTTTTGAAAAACTAATCTATAAGCAGCTTTACTCATATCTAGCCAAACTCAATATACTTAGCCCTTGCCAATATGGCTTCAGGCCCAAAAAAAGCACTAACGATGCACTTATTAGTATGCTTAACTCGATTCATACAGCTCTTGATAAAAATGAGTTCCCTGTTGGGTTATTTGTGGACCTGCGTAAAGCTTTCGATACTGTCAACCACCAAAACCTTCTTCTTAAATTACATCATTATGGTGTCAGAGGACACTCCCTACAATACCTCAAATCCTACCTTACTGACAGGCTCCAATGTGTTTCTGTGAATAATACAATTTCTCCCACCCTACCCATCAACATTGGTGTTCCCCAGGGCAGCATACTTGGCCCTCTCCTCTTTCTCATCTACATTAATGACCTTCCAAATGCCTCCCAACACCTCAAACCAATTCTATTTGCTGACGACACAACCTTCATTTACTCCAGTCCTGATCCCCTTGCTCTAAATGCCACAGTAAATACTGAGCTAAATAAAGTCCATCTGTGGCTAACTGCCAACAAACTCACCCTTAACATTGACAAAACTTTCTATATTCTGTTTGGCAATAAATCCTCTAATCAAATAAATCTCAAAATAAACAATACCCAAATTTGTAACAAATTAGATGGCAAATTCCTTGGCATTCTCATTGACCACAAGCTGAATTTCCAGGGACACATTCTAAACATATCAAAAAAAGTTTCAAAAACTGTGGGCATTCTTTCTAAGATCAGATATTATGTACCACGCCCTGCCCTGGTGACACTCTATTACTCCCTTATCTATCCATATCTCAACTATGGTATTTGTGCTTGGGGCTCTACTACCCAAAATCACTTACGTCCTCTAATTACTCAACACAAAGCTGCTATTAGGACAATATCCAATTCTGGCCCCAGACATCACTCGGTACCCCTACTCAAATCTCTGAATATGTTAGACATTAAGTCACTGCACATTCTCTCATGTGTATTATACATATATAAAATGCTAAACTATAATGCCAATCCTGATCTCAAAAGCTTCATAGAAGGTTGTAACAGAACCCATGAGCACCACACCAGAAATAAATACAGTTTTGATATTCCTAGAGTACGACTTAATCAAACCAGAAATGCTCTACAAATCAAGGGGCCCAGAATGTGGAATGACCTTCCCAACCATGTTAAAGACTGTACCTCTCTCAACCAGTTTAAGTTAAAAACGAAGCTATACCTAATAAATTCCCTGTAACCTACCTTACCCCTCTGTTGTCAACCCATGTATGTTTTTTGTTTTTTTTTTGTTTTTCAAATCAACGCTGTTTGAATGTAATTTTCTGTAATAATTTGTAATTGTATTTGTGCTGCTTTTTCAACAATGTTCCCCCCTCTTTTACCTCTATTTTTATTTGAACTCAACACATTTTATTCTTTTTACCCATTAGTTTTAAGCTTTAGTCATTAGTGTTTTTTCCTGCCCGAAACGCTTTGCGTAATAGTGGCTTTAGGCATTGTATGTACTAGCTCTATCTATAAAGCCAACAAACTTTGTAAAATCTCTTTATGTATGTACCTTTACCTAAATAAAAATTATTATTATTATTATATTAAAACAATAAATAAATAAATAAATAATAAATTCAATGTTGGATTATTGGAAACAATATTGAGTGGATTGTTATCCACTCAATAAAACTTCTGAGTTATTTGGACCACCTAAAAATTTTAAATCTGTATTCCCTAGAGCACAGGCCAGAGATACATAATAATTTACACTTCAAAAATATTAGAACTGGTTCCAAATCTGCACACAGAAATAACACCACACGAGACTAGAAGGCATGGCATATTTGCAAAATAGCCCCACTAAAAAGTAGAGGTGCAATAGGCACACAAAGAACTTGATCAACATCAAAGGGCCAAAGACTTTTCAGCGCACTTCCCCTACACATACGTGACATAGCTGGCTGACCTCTTGCAATATTCAAGAGGTTGGCCTTTGCAATCTTCAAAGGATGCCGATTAACCAAGCTGTGACTCTTATGTCAGGCTATGAGCAGCTGCATCAAACAGCCTGGTCAGAAACTGGGTTTCAAGACTGTTGATCCTTGAAATTATCAACAGATAGCCAATTGGAGGCCAAGAAACTTGAAATGTGGGGTAATGGTGGGTCATGAGACATGAGGTGTGAGGTAGTAGTGGGTCATGAGACATGAGGTGTGAGGTAGTGGTAGGTCAAGAGACATGAGGTGTGAGGTAGTGGTAGGTCAAGAGAAATAATATATGATGGTTTGAATATATTGTATGGAGAAGATGATGGTGTATTGTTAGTTTTTAGTGACATAACACACACACAAAATGGTGACTAAATATATATATATTAATATAACTAAGTTACAATACAATACAATACAATTTTATTTAGGTAAGGTACATACATACAATAAATATTTACAAGGATTGTTTGACTTATAGGTAGAGCTAGTACATACAATGCCTAAAGCCACTATTACGCAAAGCGTTTCGGGCATTAATACTATTGCATTATACTATTGATGAATAGTATATTGATGTTGTGACAGGTTGAGCTGTAGTGTGCTACTATTGAATGCTGGTAGTAGTAGAGAGCACCACCTGGTTTAGGTGATTCGTCGCATATTCAACCCATCCTTCTGTTTAGATAGTATCTATTGAGACGATCGTCAATAGTCACGAATTCGTACGTACTTAATTTTTTGATGATAGTGTACTGACATGTAGTAATGCCATGCACTGGAAAACCTGTGTCTAGACTTCATATAGATTATGCTGAACCTATGGATAACAAATATTATCTGGTGGTGGTGGATTCATACACAAAATTTCTGGATATTCATGTGTGTAGTGCTTCAAACTCGAGTACCTAGTGCTAAAGGAGTACCTAGTGCTAAAGGAGTACCTAGTGCTTCAAACTCGAGTACCTAGTACTAAAGGAGTACCTAGTGCTTCAAACTCGCACTGTATCTTGTGCTACCCACTCCTCCAATAAGTGCCTAAGCCATGCAACTTCACCATTGTAATCACTACTATCAACTTATATTATAGTCGTTATGTTAAACATACATTTTACTACAATGTACCTATTAATAATCCTCAAATTATGCTACAATGTACCTGTTGATAATCCTCAAATTTTACTACAATGTACCTATTAATATTTTTCAATTTTTTTTACAATGCACCTGTTAATATTCTTCAACTTTTGCTAAAAATTACCTACTTAAAATTATCTGTTAGATTAAGGACCTGCCCGAAACGCTATGCGTGTTAGTGGCTTTGCAAGAATGTAAAAACATTAATACTTTGTACTCTCATAAACCGAATGTACCTTCTTGTATATATATAAATAAATAAATAAGTAAATAAATAAATAAAGGTATGTTAAAAAAGTTAAGAATATTTAAGTATGGGATGTACTAGTGAAAAGGAAGGAGTCAACCACAAAAAATACAGGACTAAGGGGCCATGGTAACCAAAACTCCGAAGAAAAATGGAATATTTACGAAAAATTACGAAAAATACTACAACGTTCTGGCAACACTGTGGTCCAAACCGTTTAATGATATCTTGAAAAATAACGTAATTAGAGTCAAATTTCCCGCTGCAACTTTCGTGAATCTGGTCCTCGCGGCGTGAGTGCGCCGCGGGGTATTGTATCTTACGTTGTAGAAGTCTTATTTTTCGTAATAGCGTTGAAAATAACATGTTATGCATAAAATGAATATAAACTCGCTCATTGGCAACAGTATCGTGAGAGAGAGAGGGTGGTACGTGGCTCAGGCCCTCAGTGACTGTGTGTCTCTCTTGGAGCGTGGATGTATCGCTGACGCGCTCTCACAATACCTCCCAGAACTCATGCTATTATTGCTATTTGTACTGCAATATGACTTACCAAACGAACAAGAGAAAAGCATTGAAAGCTAGATGCATGCGAGCTCTCCATAGAAGGTACGAGCTGGCCGCAATGTGTAAATCACTCATTGTCACGAGTGACCGCGAGTATGAGTATCTTGTCGCGCGCGCTACGCAACTCCAACTTTTACAACTAGATCTGGTTTCACAGCCTTTATTTATTATTCAATTTACATAAAACTTGCACATTATATGTAGAGTTTACGCCTCTAAAAACTGATGTCATTATTCTTATCTACGTAGATTTATTGATTTTATAAATAATGATACACTTCATTTTGTTGCATACGTTTTTGGGAAACTTTTAAAAATCTGTATTATTGCACTAAATACATCTGGGATAAAAATGTGAGACAAAAATCTTTATTATATAGTAAGGTCATAGCTGAGTGTCGTATAAATGATTTTGGTTCACAATTGTGGGCTGTGAAATCAATTGAACATGGTTGAATTTTTTTTTTTTTTTTTTTTTTTTTTTTCTCTCTCCATCTCTATTTAGGCTGAGATGCTGAAACTTGGCCTAGGTGCAGCACCTTTCACATGTATCAGGATAATAAATTATGAATACCCTACAACAATTTCTTATATCCTGGTACTATGGCCCCTAAGCTTCATGTTGGGCTGAAACTTCATTGTTTCTTCATTTTAAGACGAGAGTTGGGTCTCAACTCTTCAGCCACGTTAATAGTGACTCATCGTCTGCTTTTGGCAATATTATTATTAATATTCATAATTTTCTTTTGCAGCCTCCCATCGTACCTAAAGTGAGCTATGAAGGTGACACAAGGAACTTTGATGACTATCCTGAGAACAACTGGCGATCAACACAAGGCGTCTCTGACACTGAACTAGCTATTTTTAATGACTTCTGATAATACTTACATATAAAAAAAAATGAAAAATCTAATTTGTATAGAAAGAAATTGTAAACATTTAAATAAAATCAACAAAGTACAGACAGATTAAAAATATTTTTCACTTCACGAGTATGAAAGGTGTAGAAAAACTCTGTTGAAAGTTCTGTACTGTAATGTAAGAGATTCTCAGCAATATAAATCTGTATAATATGTAAAAAGAAATTTGTTACACTTGAAAATACCAGTACAGACACTGCACTTGTATTGTACTGAAAATAATTGTACAAAGCGATAATCTTTTTATTGTAATCACTTAACTCTTTATTTTATGTAAGATGGCATTAAATAACTTTTAAAAATTTGCTTCAATAATGCAGTAATTCACAGCATTTATGTTGCAGGTTGGTCAAGTATTCATCTTGCTGTAATTTAATTTTCATTTTATAATGTATTTCATAATATTTTAACTTGAATTTTTTATGACTTTAGCAGATTTTTGAAGTTGTAAGTTTGTTTCTGTTACCTTTCATAAATCTTTTACTTATATTGTAATATTCTCCTTGAATTTCTTATTGAGTTCTTTGCACACTTCCTTGTCATTTGTAGTGAATCTGTTTGCCCCCTTTCCTCAATTTCATAACCTGTTCCTTCACTGTTGTTTTTCTCCTGATGTGACTGTGCAGCAATTTAGGGCCAGTCTTTACCTTGCTCATTATGTCATTTTCATATTGTTGCTCTGTCTCTCTTCTCATCCTGACGTATTCATTCCTGGCGCTCTGGTATCTTTCTCTGCTCTCTAGTGTCCTGTTATTTCTATAGTTTCTCCACGCCCTTGTACTTATTTGATTTGCTAGCTTACATCTCTGATTAAACCATGGGTTTCTTGTCTGCATTTAAATTTTTTTTCTTTTGGACTGGGATGAACTTGTCTGCTGCCTTACACTTCTGCGCAATGTAGTCCATGTCTTGGGCCATCTTTCCTCTGAGCTGTTTCTCAAGCTATATCTGTTAGGAATTTCCTTATCTCCTCATAGTTTCCTTCCGGAATGCTGGCCTTTTGTTTTCTGGCCCTATTCTTGAGTACCTTAACCCTACTTTGACCAGGTACTCAAACATCAGTACACTGTGATCACTCATTCCCATGGGGCTTCAAAACCGATTTCTCTTATGTTCGAGTTGTTCAGAGTGAATACTAGGTCGACTCTCGCTGGTTCACCATTGCCTCGCATTCTTGTGGGACCCCTGACATTTTGACTTTGAAAGTTAATTGTCGTCTCATCCAACAGTTTAGCTCGCCATATTTCCTCACCAGCATTTAAGGTCAGGATTGACATTACAGAGTTTTAAATATATAGAGTACACGAGAGGATGTGCAGTGATCTAATATCTAACATATTCAAAGAGTTAAGAAGGGTACCGAGTGTTGTCTGGGGCCAGAGTTAGATATTGATTTGAGTTATAGAGAGTTTTGTTTCTGAGAGTTTGAAGCATTGTGGATAAGTGTGGCATGTGTCACTGTGCTGTAGGTCCCAGGAGAAAACGGTGTCGAATGTGAAGGTTGCAAATTGATACACAGCGACACCTGTCTTAATATCTTGGACGCCTTGTGTGAGGCATACCATAATGAGAAAACTGAAAGTAAAGGCCTTATTTACATTTATTGCATCACTTGCAGTGATAAACTTAGGGAACATGGCAAAAACAACAAAAATAAAGATGAACCAAATGAAGAGAATAAGGATGAATTGGTGGAAGAGGTTAGGACTAGGGAAGAGTCGAGTACTGTATTGTTAAAAAAAGATGGAGCTTTAAATGAGATAGTTGAAGAAGTACTGTAATATATGAGCATAGAGATGCAATATAAAGGAACTGATTGAAGGCCACAAGGCAATGAAGGAGTTGTAGGAGGAACAAAAGGAAATGAAAGAAGAAAGATGAAAGTAGTAGTTTGATGAAAGAAGTTATAGACCTTAAAAAAACATTAGATGATACACGTATAGACAGGCCCGGGGCCCCTGTTCAAACATGTACGCCTGGGGCCAATCAGGCGTCCATGGAGGGGCGGGGGTAATCAGACACTCGAGCTCGAGGTATGCAGGCAGAGTTCCGGATAGGGATGCAGGTACTCAAGAGAGGGATGCAGAAACCATGGATAGGCATAGACGAAAAAACAACCTCATTATAAAAAACCGTGCAAAAGAAGAAAACAAGAATGACAAGGCACTCATTGAATCAATGTTAGAGAAACTGATAGGCAAGGTGGGAGACTTAAGTATATCAGATGTCAGGAGGTTGGGTAAGCCGGAAGCAAACATGGTAAGAATAACCCTTGCAAATTTTGAGCACAGGGGAAGATACTAAAATATGCCCACAAACTCAAAGATCTCAAGGAGTATAACCAAGTATACAGTATATATCTCCAGACTTCACTATAGAGCAGCAAAAAAAAAAAAAAAGACATTGTCCTGAGAGGCAAACTGAAGGAGTTAAGAAACACATAGATACAAAAATGCACAACTAAAGATAACGAGAGGGCAGGTTATCCAGATTGCAGATAATGAGAGAAAAAAAAAATTTACCCAGTCTGGCGGAACTAAATGTAAATATCTTGGATGACAAACAGGTTCAGAACCAGAGCAGAAATGTACAGAAAAGTAATGTGCTAAATACAGGAGCAAGCTCTCCAGGAATAATGTCAGGAGTTTAAATTGTTTTTACACAAATGTTGGAAGCCTAGTAAATAAATTTTACTCATTATGTGCATATGCAGAGGCTGTACCGAAAATATGCCAATTACTGAAAACGGCGATGGGTCATCTTTTGCCCAAACCCCCCTGCAGTTTTCAAAATATCTGAAATGTTGGAAATTTGACTCCTGAGCGTGATTTTTGAGCCGAATTCTGACTCTCTGCACCTATTTTCATTTTCAAATTACGACTTTTTATACCGAAAATATGCCAATTACTGTAAACGGCGAAGGGTCATATTTTGCCCAAACCCCCCTGCAGTTTTCAAAATATCTGAAATGTCGGAAATTTGACTCCTGAGCGTGATTTTTGTGCCGAATTCTGACTCTGCACCTATTTTCATTTTCAAATTACGACTTTTTATACCGAAAATATGCCAATTACTGTAAACGGCGAAGGGTCATATTTTGCCCAAACCCCTCTGCAGTTTTCAAAATATCTGAAATGTCGGAAATTTGACTCCTGAGCGTGATTTTTGTGCCGAATTCTGACTCTCTGCACCTATTTTCATTTTCAAATTACGACTTTTTACACTGAAAATATGCCATTTACTGAAAACGGCGATGGGTCATATTTTGCCCAAACCCCCCTGCAGTTTTCAAAATATCTAAAATGGCGGAAATTTGACTCCTGAGCGTGATTTTTGAGCCGAATTCTGACTCTCTGCACCTATTTCCATTTTCAAATTACGACGTTTTATACCGAAAATATGCCAATTAATGAAAACGGCGATGGGTCATATTTTGCCCAAACCCCCCTGCCGTTTTCAAAATATCGTAAACATCAGAAATTTGATTCCTGAGCGTGATTTTTTAGCTGAATTCTGACTCTCTTCACCTATTTTCATTTTCAAATTACGACTTTTTACACCGAAAATATGTCACTTACTGAAAACGGCGATGGGTCATATTTTGCCCAAACCCCCCTGCAGTTTTCAAAATATCTGAAATGTCCGAAATTTGACTCCTGAGTGTGATTTTTGAGCCGAAGCTGACTCTCTGCACCTATTTTCGTTTTCAAATTACGAATTTTTATACCGAAAATATGCCAATTACTGAAAACGGCGATGGGTCATATTTTGCCCAAACCCCCCTGCAGTTTTCAAAATATCTGAAATGTCGAAAATTTGACTCCTGAGCATAATTTTTTAGCTGAATTCTGACTCTCTGCACTTATTTTCATTTTCAAATTACGATTTTTTATACCGAAAATATGCCAATTACTGAAAACGGCGATGGGTCATATTTTGCCCAAACCCCCCTGCAGTTTTCAAAATATCTGAAATGTCGGAAATTTGACTGCTGAGTGTGATTTTTGAGCTGACTTCTGACTCTCTGCACCTATTTTCATTTTCAAATTACGACTTTTTATACCGAAAATATGCCAATTACTGAAAACGGCGATGGGTCATATTTTGCCCGAACCCCCCTGCAGTTTTCAAAATATCTGAAATGTTGGAAATTTGACTCCTGAGCGTGATTTTTGTGCCGAATGCTGACAGTACTCTCCTGCTTCCACAAGCGATTGCTGCCTGAGTAAATAACTGATCGTACAGTAACATTTTAACGATTCTTCGCGGCAGGGGATCGTATTCCAGGGACCATAGGATTAAGGACTTGCCCGAAACGCTACGCGTACTAGTGGCTGTACAAGAATGTAACAACTCTTGTATATATCACAAAAAAAAAAAAAAAAAAAAAAACACGTACTAGTCTTCTAAGACAAGCTTTTACCTGCTACTTGAATAGTTCTAGGTATAACTAACATCTAGCTTTATATATTATACTAATATTCAATTAACACAGAGTATACCAGCTCTGTGAGCAACAAGGTTAATTCCTATGTCTGGCAGGGAAGTGGAACCATCAACCAAGCAAGTTTCAGGTCCCCTTTAAACACAAGTCAAAAATTTCTGCTTTCAAAAATTCAAAATTCAAAATTCAAATGTTTATTTAGGTAAAGTACATACATACAAGGGGTGATACAAATATTGATAAATTTATAGAGCTAGTACATATAATGCCTAAAGCCACTATTACGCAAAGCGTTTCGGGCAGGAAAAACACTAAAGACTAAAACTTAATACTAATTGAGATTAAAGTATAAAATGTGTTGAGAAAATATAAAAGTAAAAACGGGGGGAACATGGCAGAAAAACAGCAAAAATACAATTTGGTCGACAAACAGCATTGTTTAAAAAAATAACAGACATGGGTTGACATTATAGGGGAAAGGTAGGTTACAGGGAGTTAATAATTTTTTATAATCACTTTAGCGCTCCCGGGTCGTAAATAAACGACGCGTATTTTTTCCTAAAAGTACACCCGAGTCGTAAATTTACGACGAATAGAGGTATGAAAATGTTTGCCATTAAATTTCCGTTTTCTCTAATAGGCACATGGCACATTTGGGAGAACGGCATTGTAATGTAACTTAGTGGAAAGACTATTGTATGTTTGACACGGCAAGTGTAATCGCGCACTTCACACACTCTTGGTGTGGGCCGCGATCATGATTCTACATTTATATGCATATGTCCGTGTATGGAATTTAATTGCGATCACAGTGATACCATATTTAACGCTGTAGGACAAGTGTGGAGTTGACAACTCTGAAAAGAATAGAAACATTTCGTCGCTGTTTGGAGCTCACGGCTAGTGATCGATGTAGTTCTTTAGCTTTTTGTGTGATTTAACTCATGGTTTGGTGACATATACATATGTTCTTATATGTTCCTATAGATCATTCTATTGCGAACACGTTGGTATAAAAATGAAATCTGTACATCGAAAATTAAGATCAGAACAGCGAAAAGAGTATACACTTTTCAGTGTTGCCGCTCGGTCACCCGAAAACGTCGATTTCATTTGAAATTGGAAGTTCCAGTCCATATCGCCGTGCGCGTTAAAGTACTAAGTAGTGCTTAGTTTTTATCTTAAACTGGTTGAGAGAGGTACAGTCTTTAACATGATTGGGAAGATCATTCCACATTCTGGGTCCCTTGATTTGTAGAGCATTTCTAGTTTGATTAAGTCGTACTCTTGGAATATCAAATAGGTATTTGTTTCTGGTGTGGTGCTCATGTGATCTGTTACAACCTTCTAGGAAGCTTTTAAGGTCAGGATTGACATTGACATTACATTACATTACAGATTGACATTACATTATTAAGTGAATTGTGGGGTTCAGTCCCTGAGCCCATTATGTGCCTCTGTAACCCTTTCCACTACCGCCCACAAGATGGGTATGGGGTGCATAATAAATGAACTAAACTAAGTAAAAATATTTTTTTTCCAGACTTGAAATGCTATTGCGACGAACGGCTCGGAGGATCCGCATTCGTAGTCACTAGAACGGTCTCCGGGGGATCCAGGTTGGTGCTCGTTGTAAACAAGAAACAAGAAATGACATGGGTGACATGGCTTCCTCGGGTGGGTATTCCTTGCTGTGGTCTTCTGGTTGACCCGTGACCCTGAGGGCACGTCTGACCCAAGGTGTGGGGGTCCTCGTAGACAATATCAGTGTCCCGTTGGGTCTTCTTTCTTTGCTATGCATGCAGTTTGCCTGAAGGTTTGCCTGAAGGTTTTCTTCCAGAGGACTGCACGAGTAATATTGAAAGATGGGTCACTCACAGTGGCGCATCAATGGTCATAATTTGGCAGAGTTTGAGAGTTATCGAGGTCGTTTATTTGTGTGAGGTTATGACAAAAATAAACATATGAGTGGTAGGTTTTGATCTCAATTAGTTTGTTTTATTTTTTAAGTGTTTTCCCACATCTTTTTTGCCAGATACGCTGTGCATACTAGTGGCTTTCAGCATAGTATATACTAGCTCTATCTTGAACTCCAACATTCTTTTTGTAACTCATTTTGGATGTATGTACTTTTACCTGAATAAACATTATTATTATTACTCAACTCGGGACAGCAAAGGTAAGGAATTGTGTTGATGGTGGTAGCTAAGTGTTGCTATTCTATGGAAAGTGTCTGGTTTAGTCAAGAGACCTGAATCGAATTATGTTTAAGAGTTCAAATTCAAAATTCAAAAAATTCAGTTGGTTGTAATTCAGATAGGGTAGGTGCTATTTAGTCGTAATGGCTTGATGCTTTCCCCTGATAATTCTCTTCAGATAAGGTAGGGTAGGTTAGATTATGTTAAGTAATGTGGGGTTAGTGTGTATAAAGGTAGGTTAGGTTGCTGTATTGAATTAAACCCCAGACTGTTATGTCTGGGGGTGTAATTCACACAAATTACACCCCAGACTGTGGATGCAAACCCACCCCAGACTGTTATGTCTGGGGTGTGATTGCATCAGTCTTCCTTGATGTACTAGTAGTACAGTGTGTTGAATATCTGGGAGTGGTTGGAGGATGTGTCATAGGAGAGTGTGGTTTATGTGGCTTTTCAGTCGAAGTGCCAGGTTGCTGGAAGATTTGTACAGCTGGGGATTTGTTACTCTTAGTGCCAGTGGTTGTGGTTTGTGGCCAGTCAGCCTGGGGAGTGACTGGTAAGGCATGCTATTGTAAGTAGTTATTTAGGAGTTTGTCCAGTTTCAGTTTAATTGCTTTGTGTACAGCAATGGTAGTTGCATTAGGTTGGATGTCATTGTCTGTAGATGTAGAAGGGGGGGGGGGGGTTGGAGGCTTGGATTACTTGTGTAAAGAATTTAGTTGAGAGTCAGTCCATTGTCTTTTCTGGTGCATTTTCAATGGCTCCCCGGCAACCCTCCTTTCCTCTAGGCAGTGGTTTTTCGGGTGTTTTTGACATCCAATCTCAGAACTGGTGGGTGGATTGCCGCCGTGGAGGTCTGGGGCTCCCCCCTTCTGGGGAGGGGGGAGCTGTGCAGACATGCGGCGTGGCTTGTGTAACATCATGCTTGTTTGCTCGTTTTCATTTGGGGAGTTCTCTCCACTAGTTGGTCTATTTTAGTCGTTTTAACCAGAATAAGGGGTTGTTTTGGGGTGCTTACCTTTCTGGGTGCCTGTCCCGGTTGATGGTAGATATAGAATGCTCCAAATCCCATGTGCATTTCTACAGGCCATTGCTCCTCGTGCCTCTGAGGGGGCCAGGTTCTGGCCATGGTCCCCAGTAGGCCTACAACTCCATTTACTGACTGATGCCAAAGTTTAGGGATATACATATCAGCCTGAATAGCTCTGGGGAGCCTCCAGGATTCACTCAAAAAATGGTGTTTCATTATATTCGACGCTGGTTTTTTAAGTTATTGTATTTTAGTTTTTTTGCAAATTTACTTAGTAGATTTATTTAATTATTACAGACCTTGGAAGTGTAGAGTGTTAGTTTATACAGTGCTTACAGTGCGATATTTTTGCAGAAATTATAAAGGAGAGAAAGAGACGAGCGGAGCTGCTGCAGTTCTATGGCAGTGGGCCGAAAGAAGACACTTCGTATGATATTAATTCTAAACACTTCAACCATGATATGTATGTCCAGAAAACTATCAAGGTGAGATAATCATAACCTGGTCTAGACCTCTCTCACTGATTTTTTTTTTGTATGTGGTTGTAGAAGGTAAAGGAGACCATCTCTATATTGAGTTTACAGGATTAGTATTGAGCAATGAGCCATAATGACCAAACCACACACCAGAAGATGAGGAGACGACGACGTTTCAGTCCATCCTGGACCATTATCAAGTCGATTGTGTGACAAGTTTCTCACAGACCAAAAGGTTGTCGTCTCCTCATCTTCTGTTGTGTGGTTTGGTCATCATGTCTTCAGCCATGTTATTGTGACTCATTGTCTGTGTTATGAGCCATGATGCTGGTTCTTGCATTAATGATGACAATTTTTACATCTGATTACAGTAATTATCAAACTAGGCCTAAACGGCAACTTGGTAAAACTAATAAGGAAGCCTAGAGTAAAAATATTTTTCATCCTGTCTGAATGGCAATGACGCATATACATCAGAGATTATGTAGCAGCGTACACATTTTTCACGAATTCCACATACTGTACACAAACAACATTCGCACATTTCCAAGAATCGAGCAGTTTTCCATCAACCAATTTCCAAGCAGCCTTGGTCTAAACTGAGCCAGGTTGATGGGAATACAGTATTAGGCAGTCTCACACCATAGCAGGCATCAGCAACTTCACCACCTATCAGCCTTCTATCTTTTATCTCAATATAGAAGAAAAAGAGGAGATATGATCGCTATGTACAAAATAGTAACGGGAATCGATAAAATTGATAGGGAAGTTTTGTGAAATATATGATAAAGGCACAAAAAAATTTATACAAAAGCAGAGATGCAGAACTAGGAAACAGTATTGGTTCAACAGAAATTGTGAGATGGCCAGAGACCAAAAGACACAAAAATGGAATCAATATAGGAAGAGGCCAAACCCCCAAACATACCAGCAATACAAAGATGAGAGAAACAACTATACGGAGGTGAGGAGAGGCAGAAAGAAATTTTGAAAAAAGGATAGCGGACAATTGTAAAACAGAACCAGGCCTATTCTGTAAATTCATCATCAACAATTTGTTTATCAACAACAAATAGCAGGTAAAGGATAATATTCAGAGGTTGAAAATAGGAAACAGATTCACAGAAAATGAAAAAGATATGTGTGAAACATTAAACAAAAAGTTCCAAAGTGTGTTTGAAGAAAATTAAATCTACAGAGAACCAGACACAATAAGAATTTCAGAGAACAATATAGAGCACATAGAGGTTTCTATAGACGAAGTGAAAAAAATGCTCAATGAGCTAAGAAAGAACAAAGCAGTTGGCAGCAGATAGAGTTTAACCATGGGTTCTGAGAGAATGTGCACCTGAGCTCGGCATTCCACTTCAACTGATTTTTCAGGCATCCCTGTGTACAGGAGTCGTAGCAGCTGTGTGGAAAATGACTAACATAATTCCAATCTACAAAAGTGGCAGCAGGGAAGACCTCCCTCAATTATAGACCTGTATCATTGACAAGTGTAATGTAATAACAAAAACTAGAAGATAGAAGAAAAAAGGCGATATGATCACTACGTACAAAATAGTAACAGGAATCGTTAAAATTGATAGGGCGGAATTCCTGACACCTGGAACTTCAAGAACAAGTCATAGATTTAAACTAACTAAACACAGATGCCGAAGAAATATAAGAAAATTCACTTTCGCAAACAGAGTGGTAGATGGTTTGAACGAGTTAGGTGAGAAGGTGGTGGAGGCTAAAACCGTTAGTAATTTCAAAGCATTATATGACAATCGGAGCTGGGAAGATGGGACACCACGAGTGTAGCTCTCTTCCTATAACTACTCTTAGGTAATTATTCCTAGGTTATTACACTTAGGTAATTACACTCACACCCCTCGTAGGGGTGTGAGTTAAGGGCTTAAAGACTTTATCTTAATGATTGGCCCCTTAAAGGGGCCCCTTAAAGGCCCCTTAAAGACTTTAAGGGGCCTCGTAGCCTGGTGGATAGCGCGCAGGACTCGTAATTCTGTGGCGCGGGTTCGATTCCCGCACGAGGCAGAAACAAATGGGCAAAGTTTCTTTCACCCTAAATGCCTCTGTTACCTAGCAGTAAATAGGTACCTGGGAGTTAGTCAGCTGTCACGGGCTGCTTCCTGGGGGTGGAGGCCTGGTCGAGGACCGGGCCGCGGGGACACTAAAGCCCCGAAATCATCTCAAGATAACCTCAAGATAACCCCCAACTATCAACCACTACCACCACCCACCCAACAACAACAACAACCAACCACCAACCACGATGATGATGACGAAGTCAGTGCAAATTACTCCATTGCCTTAAAATTATTTTCACTACAGCTACATTATGAAGATGAACAAATATATTCCTCTACCTTCCCCATCCTTTCCAAACCCTTTGGACATCAAAGCAAAGCAAGTAAGTTTTATTAATTATAAAATGTATTTAACAGGAGAGGAGTCTAAAGCAGCTGCTGGAGCATGAGGCTCAGATGGTGTCTGAAGTACAGGTGCTTGACTCAGATTGTCAGACACTCGTCTATGATCATTATGACAAGTTCATCGCTGCTGCCGACATTGTCCGCAAGGTAAAGCTAGCCCTTTATAAATAATATATATATATAAGGCTCAATTTGCCTAATAAGCCAAGTTTTAATAAATTTATATATTTTTTCTTATGAAATGATAAATCTATCCATTTCATTATATATGAGTTCGTTCTTTGTTAATATGAGTTAAAACTAGCATAAATATATGACCGAACCTAACCTAACCTACCCTATCTTAACCTAACCTAAACTAACATAAGTAAGTCAACAATTTATGTTCTTAATATAATATAATGATAAGAATTCAAAAAAAGCAACTGGAACAAATTTTTTGAAAATAAAGAAAATCAATCGACCTACTATATATATATATATATATATATATATATATATATATATATATTAGTATATTTTGGTAGCAGTCTTTCCTGTAGACATATTTTATTAAATATGACCGAAAAAGTAAGATTAATAATTCTAACACGAATTTTCTCAATCTTTCGTACATTATGCTTCACTGTTGGAGGTAAATCAAAAATCACTTCTCCAAAATTCATTTTTATTTCTAGTCTGACGCGACACGGGCGCGTTTCGTAAAACTTATTACATTTTCAAAGACTTCACAAATACACAACTGATTAGAACTTGCATTTCCCTGATTTTATATCTACTTTTGAGTGAGGTGGGAAGGGTGATGTGGCATTACATTTGAGTGAGGTGGGAAGGATGATGTGGCATTAGAGGATATTAATAGGGTATTAAAAGTATCAACACAAGACAGAACACGAAACAATGGATATTGAATAGAAGTGTTTGTAGAAAGCCTATTGGTCCATATTTCTTGATGCTTCTATATTGGAGCGGAGTCTTGAGGTGGGTAGAATATAGTTGTGCAATAATTGGCTGTTGATTGCTGGTGTTGACTTCTTGATGTGTAGTGCCTCGCAAACGTCAAGCCGCCTGCTATCGCTGTATCTATCGATGATTTCTGTGTTGTTTACTAGGATTTCTCTGGCGATGGTTTGGTTATGGGAAGAGATTATATGTTCCTTAATGGAGCCCTGTAGGGCTCCATTAAGGAACATATAATCTCTTCCCATAACCAAACCATCGCCAGAGAAATCCTAGTAAACAACACAGAAATCATCGATAGATACAGCGATAGCAGGCGGCTTGACGTTTGCGAGGCACTACACATCAAGAAGTCAACACCAGCAATCAACAGCCAATTATTGCACAACTATATTCTACCCACCTCAAAACTCCGCTCCAATATAGAAGCATCAAGAAATATGGACCAATAGGCTTTCTACAAACACTTCTATTCAATATCCATTGTTTCGTGTTCTGTCTTGTGTTGATACTTTTAATACCCTATTAATATCCTCTAATGCCACATCATCCTTCCCACCTCACTCAAATGTAATGCCACATCACCCTTCCCACCTCACTCAAAAGTAGATATAAAATCAGGGAAATGCAAGTTCTAATCAGTTGTGTATTTGTGAAGTCTTTGAAAATGTAATAAGTTTTACGAAACGCGCCCGTGTCGCGTCAGACTAGAAATAAAAATGAATTTTGGAGAAGTGATTTTTGATTTACCTCCAACAGTGAAGCATAATGTACGAAAGATTGAGAAAATTCGTGTTAGAATTATTAATCTTACTTTTTCGGTCATATTTAATAAAATATATATATATATATATATATATATATATATATATATATATATATATATATATATATATATATATATATATATATATATATATATATATATATATATATATATATATATATATATATATATATATAACTGAAAACTCACACCCCAAAAGTGACTCGAACCCATACTCCCAGAAGCAACGCAACTGGTATGTACAAGACGCCTTAATCCACTTGACCATCACGACCGGACATAATGAGGTGATAGCCGAGGCTATTTGAACCACCCCACCGCCGGCACTCGGATAGTAATCTTGGGCATAGCATTTTACCAAATCACCTCATTCTTTGGGGCACACGTGAGGAACACAAATGCGAACAAGCCTGAATGGTCCCCAGGACAATATGCAACTGAAAACTCACACCCCAGAAGTGACTCGAACCCATACTCCCAGAAGCAACGCAACTGGTATGTACAAGACGCCTTAATCCACTTGACCATCACGACCGGACATAATGAGGTGATAGCCGAGGCTATTTGAACCACCCCACCGCCGGCACTCGGATAGTAATCTTGGGCATAGCATTTTACCAAATCACCTCATTCTTTGGGGCACACGTGAGGAACGTGATGGTCAAGTGGATTAAGGCGTCTTGTACATACCAGTTGCGTTGCTTCTGGGAGTATGGGTTCGAGTCACTTCTGGGGTGTGAGTTTTCAGTTGCATATTGTCCTGGGGACCATTCAGGCTTGTTCGCATTTGTGTTCCTCACGTGTGCCCCAAAGAATGAGGTGATTTGGTAAAATGCTATGCCCAAGATTACTATCCGAGTGCCGGCGGTGGGGTGGTTCAAATAGCCTCGGCTATCACCTCATTATGTCCGGTCGTGATGGTCAAGTGGATTAAGGCGTCTTGTACATACCAGTTGCGTTGCTTCTGGGAGTATGGGTTCGAGTCACTTCTGGGGTGTGAGTTTTCAGTTGCATATTGTCCTGGGGACCATTCAGGCTTGTTCGCATTTGTGTTCCTCACGTGTGCCCCAAACAATGAGGTGATTTGGTAAAATGCTATGCCCAAGATTACTATCCGAGTGCCGGCGGTGGGGTGGTTCAAATAGCCTCGGCTATCACCTCATTATGTCCGGTCGTGATGGTCAAGTGGATTAAGGCGTCTTGTACATACCAGTTGCGTTGCTTCTGGGAGTATGGGTTCGAGTCACTTCTGGGGTGTGAGTTTTCAGTTGCATATTGTCCTGGGGACCATTCAGGCTTGTTCGCATATATATATATATATATATATATATATATATATATATATATATATATATATATATATATATATATATATATATATATAAATATTAATATTATAAATATTATATATATTATTTATATACAGTATTTATATAAATTTATATAATTATTTATATAAATTATATAAAAAAAGATGAAGGAGGGATCAGTAAAGATGGAGGCACAAATCACTCGCCTTCAGGAGAACATGTCTAGGATCACTGCTTCCTCCACCAGCATTACCTCTGCTCTACAGGTTAGTGTTAAGATAATTTTCTGGGCTATGAGAAGACTCATAGGCATTTCTTCAATTTAATGTTTTCCTAAGATACTCTTCACAGCCTCTGAGTTATATATGTTTCTGTTTATATTTAGTGACTTATTATATAATAATTAACAAAAAATTCTATTTGAAAAGCTGTGCAACATTTGAAGAAGCTTAAGGGGCCCGGTGACTGGGGAGTATTTTTCAAAAAATGAAATATAGTGAAATTTTTTAAACAAATTTCCCATTATTTGGCATCAGCATCGTGAAAATTCCATCCCAGTATGTTAACCCTTAAACTGCGCATGGTGTATATATACACCATAGGGTGCCAGGCACAATTCAAATGGCTGCGGCTATACGGGGTTTACATCAGCTTACTCGGGGCTCTTGTAAACAGATGCCATGTTTTAAAAATATCGTAGGCAATATTCTCCGGTGTGAGAGTCACAGTACTGTTGGAGCAACCAAGGCTGGCGCACGCAGTACAAGCTAACAGCATTGCTGTTCAGCTTGTGACCACAGCATCCCCTAAAAATGTCAAAATAAATATGTAACTGCTATTATTTAACGATGTCAATATTACACTCCTGACTGTGATAAAAACGACCAGGATTGTGATAATAGCAGGATTGTTGTGATAATTAGCGTTGTGTGGGAGAAGTAATGCTGTGGGAGGGAGGGAGATAGCATTGTTTACTGACTGTGTGGCCACCTGTTATTATCTGCATTCACCATACCAGCTCAGTGGTTCTCTATGGTGAACACAAATGTAGATACTAGATATATAATGTGTGTATTAGTGTAATAACAGCAAAAGGATTATGTTGGAAGGAGCCATTTGGGTGACAGTAGGGAGCCGTTCGGTCGAGCAGACAGCACGCTGGACTTGTGATCCTGTGGTCCTGGGTTCGATCCCAGGCGCCGGCGAGAAACAATGTTACCTAGCAGTAAAATAGGTACCTGGGTGTTAGTCAGCTGTCACGGGCTGCTTCCTGGGGGTGGAGGCCTGGTTGAGGACCGCGCCGCGGGGACACTAAAAAAAGCCCCGAAATCATCTCAAGATGACCTCAAGATAACCTGACGGAGGTGGCGTCGTCTGCATGACTTGTCTAGCTGTGTAGAGGGTGGCCACTATGCACCCAACAAGCTTAGGTGCACAGTCATGGTGCATACAACATGTAGATACTTATATATAATGTGTGTATATAGTGTAATAACTGCAAAACTATTTGTTTATTGTTTTATGAACGTAATAATTGAACCACTAATATGAACACCATACTTTTGAGTATAGTGATGATTCACACATTTTATTATATAAATCTATCACACTACACACTATTGAATAATATTACTGCAAAAACTAAGAAAAAATCAATCAGAGACATTGAAATAATTAGGTACTGTAATAATATCTTTGTGGCAACTTCCACCTGTCAACTCGGGTGACGCTGACGACCGCTCTGTCAACGCCCACTTTTTGCCAGACTTCCTTGGTCTATTGCGCCCAAAATGTCACCTACGATTTTTTTCCCCCGTGCTCAGGGAATACAAATTAACATTTTTAGAAGACGAAATAATTTTTCAGAATTTTTTTTTTGTTGCGCACAGGGGTGTAAATCTCCTCAGGACCCCTTAGCAGCTTAAGGGTTAAAGAAGTTTTAGTACACAATCACCGGGGCCCCTTAAGAGTTTATATGTAGAAGTTCTGCTGCGGACAACCCATGAGAGCCAAGCTTAGCACTACATCTCAATGAGAAGTCATGTAGCAGTTTATGTATCAGTTATGAGCATCTCCATTTCTACAGTGACATAGTGGATCAAGTGCTTCCAGGTTATAAGGTCATAAGGTTTGGTGCCAATATCCTCATGGTCAAAGACAAATTTATTATATTTATATTTGTTATAATGGACTCAGTTTGGGGATACAACATTAGGACCTAGAGGTTATAGCTCATAATGTTTAAGAGAATGCATACTTAGCAGACACTATGCTGCAAAATATCTTAACACTTTAAATTGCTGACAAAATTTCATTAGTTGTAATAAAAATATTTATCCATCTTAAGTTTGGCAACAGTGTACAGTACTTTTCTTTCAGGAGCGCCGAGGCCACCTGAGCCGACTGCTAGGTGTTCATGGGACATTAAGGAAGTTGGAGTTCCTTTTCCATCTTCCTCAGAAGATTGATGAATGCATTGCTGACAAAAATTTCACTGAGGTGAGATGTGAAATTTGTTACATCTTATGTGAAAAACCATGTAAAATTAATGGTGATGTACTGTATTGTTAAATGCTGTACATTTGCAGTGAAACCTCACAGATCTCTTTTTTTTCTTCATATATTTGCTTTCATACTTCCTGGTTAACTGAGATGGACACTGTCTAATGTGATATTGTTTTTGTGCTCTATGGCAATTAGTTCATGAATTTATAAAAATTTAAAAACTCATTAAGTAGAATTAATAACAAACACTAAGGCAAGTTTACACCATCTTGTTAAGAGCTGTAACATGCAGTTTGGTATTGACACCACAAGAAACTTTTCATATGGTCCCTCCAGGGGTCATACTGGTATTAGGGAGCAATGGAGATATATTGTCAAGTTTGAGTGGCCCAAGAAGAAAATAATCAATCACGAAACCCATCCATTATCTCTTTAGCATCAGTGTGACTGCGAGGGAATGCTGTATCCTGGCTGTCCACTCTGCATGCCACAGACTTAACTTGGTCATGAAACGGGTGATCATACAGTGATAAATCATGTTTCCATTGTTTAAACTAAAAGTGGTATCTGTGTATCTGTCATTAAATTTGCTGAATTTAATCAGAAAGTAAAATGTCAGTTCAGCTAACAAAAAGGGATATAGTGGAAAAGAAACAAAATTGCTTTATTTTGATGCAAGTCTCCTACAAATTAAAAATCCTACACTTGGTCAAGCAGAGGAGGCAATTTGGCAACATCCTGAAAGTTATCCTACATCATTGCCTAACATAATTACCTAAGTGTACCTACAGGATAAGAGCTAGGCTTGTGGTGTCCTGTATTCCCAGCACTCTTTGTCATACTGTATAACTAATAATACTTTAACCCTTAGACCGCGCAATACATATATAGATGATTTGAGTAACTTTACCGATACCGCGCAATACATTAATAGCAGTTTTAGTGTCTAGCGCTCTCATTTAAATGCTCCGCGTGGGATAGAGGCAGCTATAGTGCAGCCACGACCGATAGTTGGCAGACACCACCTAGAAAAAAAATCGTGGCAAACTTTCCTGGGTGTGAGAGCCTCAGTACTGAGCGAGCCACCAAGGCTGACACACGTAGCATGAGCATACAGCATTGCTGTTCAGCTTGTGACCACAGCATCGCTTAAAAAGTCAAAATATATATGTAAATGCTATTATGTAATGATGATAGTATTACAAAAAACCTTTGACTGCGATAAAACTGACCAGGATTCTGATAATAGCAGGATTGTGGTGATATTTAGCGCTGTGCTCCATGGAGGGAGGAGTAATGCTGTGGGAGGGATGGTGGTGGCGTCGTCTTCTGATTGTGTGTGGCCACCTTTTATTGACTGCATTCACCATACCAGTTTAGTGGTTCGCTATGGTGAACACAAATGTAGATACTTATATATAGTGTGTGTATAGAGTATAATAACAGCAAGAGGGGTATGTTGGGAGCCCCATTTTGGTGAGGGAGGTGGTGTCGTTTGCATGCCTTATCATGTTATTTACTGGTGACCACTATGGTCTTTGGGCACCATACCAGTTTACTTGTACAAATATGGTGAATTAAACAGGTAGATACTTATATATAATGTGTGTATATAGCGTCCAAATCACATGTGTATTTCTACAGGCCAATGCTCCTTGTGCCTCTGAGGGGGCCAGGTGGTTCATGGTCCCCAGTAGGCCTAGAACTCCACCCACATCGACTGATGCAAAAGTTAGGGATATCCTTATCAGCCTGGATAGCTCCGGGGAGCCTCCAGGACTCACCCCAGAAAATGGCTTTTCATTACATTCAACGCTGGTTTTTTGTCGATATATTTCAGACCCCTGGCCCCTTAAAAGAGGATCTGGTGAAATCCAACCCATCTCTGTACATAATCTTCATAACGTTGTCTGATTTTAGGGTGTTCGTAGCTATGTTGAGACTGCTGAAGTTCTGCATCGGTACCGTCACATGCCATCCTTTAATGCCATCCATGATGACTGTGAAGCTGCTGTTGGTCGTCTCAATCTAGCCCTCAAAGAGCAGCTCGCCCTTAAGGAGGTACAGTAAGCTTGTTTGGGGTGGTATTTTTAGTTCATTTGTATTGATAAAGCCTAGTGCGACTGCTCAAATAGATAATTTAGTTCTAGACCTTATCTGCTTCAAAAGGGAGCATGTTTTAAATCCCAGGACTCCAGCCCCAGACTAATATAGCACTTATCAGTCCTATAGCTCCAGAGAGCCTCAAGGGCTCACCCAAAAAAGGTCGTAAAATGGCGTATCATTACATTCAACGCTGTTTTTTTTGCCACATATTTTTGAATAAGGTCTGTAATGACTAACTTCATCCATACCCTGTTTTTCTGGTTTTATACTCTTCTTTTTTCAGTTTATAGTTCTATACAAATTTATATGAATATGACTATTTCCCACAGGGAAGTGCTCGTCACTTAACTGAGTGTGTAGATTTGCTGCTGCAACTGGGCGAGCCTGCTGAGGGGCTGTGTGACGACTTCTTGGCACACGCTCGCACCATGCTGCAAGGAGACCTGGCCAATTTAACCAAATTGGCAGAAGCAGCACTTACATCAGGTGGGGATGAGGTGCCTGATAGAGATACTGAAGAGGAAATGGCTGGAGATATAAATGCTAAAGAAAAGTCTCTGCAGGAAGAGTCTGATAAAATAAACAGAGGGGGCTGCACTACTATGGTGAGTAATGCTGTCAGTTTGGTTTGTGTTAAATTATGTTTTTCTTTTTATTGTTTTTATTAAGGCTTGTCGGTTGTCTATCACTCCATCAAAAGAGGACGTAATGTATGGGGGGGGGGGGTTGATAAGACTGATAAGAGCCCGACGTGAGTTGGAAGACACAGACATGCATTTTTTTATCTTTTTATTGACATCATTAATAAAATTTGCTTTTTTAATGCAATGGTTGATGCTCCTTTGTTGGCTGTGCTCCATATATCAGGTTCAGTGCTAGATAGTTTTAAGTGTAGTCAGGCTGATGTGATTGTTGCCGTCAAATGTGGCTAGTTTATTGTGCACCTCATACTCATCCTGTGAGCAGTAGTGCAAAAAAAGGAATACAGAGGACACAAAAGGTCTTTATCAGACCTTACCGGACAAATACATATATCCTGCACATCCTATAATTATACTGTCAGCTAGTAAGAGAGAGATTGTTCCACTTGAATAGGTATGTATTCACAGTTAATCATTATACATTTATGGTAGGTCTTTCTGTAGAGAGCCCCTTCAGCTTACGGGCTGGTATGTATGTATTAGGCCGTGGCACTAGTCAATATGATGGAGTTCTAATCTGTTGGGGACCACGAGCCAGAACCTGGCTTCCTCAGAGAGGCGTGAGGAGCAATGGCCTATAGAAATCCCTGTGGTTGGGAGGATTCTATGTCTGTCATCTACTGGGTTAGGCACCAGACATGGTGCCTAACCTGCATTAGAAATCCAGGAAGCATGCAGATATAGAAGCACTGGTACCAGTCACTTAATGTTTGGATGTCACTGTATTTAGAATGGTTCCACCATGTGACCTTGTGAAAGCTCATTTCATAATGAATGTGTATACAGTTCCAGACTTAAATTGCTGTTTGTTTGTTTTTTGCTGACAATTTGTGGGAAGAAGTGAATATTGAGGGAAGAAAGGAATCACTCTTTAATATTATTCTGTAACAGGATATCCTGGAGTTTGTAGATGTGTGCCATGAAACCTTTGTTGGGAACTTGTGGCTGGTAATCTCATCATACAAGGAGATGTTTCTCAGAAGGCCAGAAGAGGGAGGAAGGTGAGAATCTTCCTTAATGTTTGATTTTATACTCTTATCATGGTTAAAGTAATACTCAAGTTGCACTTTAGTGAAAATTACTTGCGTTGCTAATTTTGATTTCCCAGTCAAATACTGTATATAATAAGAGCCAATTACTTCTTTTACCTTCTTCATTTGTATAGGTACTGTAATATTAGTGCTAGTGTTGGTAGATATTAGTGTAGTTTTCATTAACTTCTAAATATAATTTTCTGTGGGGAGCCATGTCAGTTCCCTGGAGCTATCAGACTTATATGTGATATATATATTAGTCTGGGGCATCAGTCAATTGGAGTTCAGCCTACCGGGGATCACGAACCAGAACCTGGCTCCCTCAGAGAGGCACTGGAAGCAATGGCTTATAGAAACCCCAATGTGGTTGGGGGCATTCCATGTTTGCCATCAACTAGGGTTAGGCACCCAGAAAGGTAGTGCCTTTCTAGAACCTGTGCCTCTCTGAGAGGGCCAGGTTCTGGCTCGTGGTCCCCGGAAGGCTGAACTCCAATTAACTGATGCCCCAGACTAATATATTGCATATCAGTCCAATAGCTCCAGGGAACCTCCGGGGCTCACCCAGAAAATGCCATTTCATTACATTCAATGCTGGTTATATACAGTACTGTATTTGTTTTATTCCATGCTGTTGCCGATCATCAAGTGTTGCCATGGATAAACTTCGGGAATTTGTGGCAGGGCTGGTGGAGCAGTATGTTAGTGTTGTGGGAGTGCGGGTTGCTGCCGAGCCTGATACTGCACATTATGCTCCCCTCACCACTGCTCTTGATAAGTTTCACAGACGTCTTCATGCCATTACACAGCTCCTGCCAAACACAAACTTTGGGGAGTAAGTTTGTTATATTATAAATTTTGTGAGCCAGTAATACTTGTAATTATTGTAATACTTGAGCTAACTCCCTCATTTATGATATATTTTTCTGTTATTTTGAGAGGAAATTGATTACTTGATTTTGCTTTAGTTCTGAATAATTATGGTTAAAATTCTAACTCATTTTCTTGTTAAACAAATTACAAACAAATTTTATTAAGATCCAATACAACATATTTCTCATTTTGTGCATGTTTTGATTTTAATCAATAATAAAGCGTGAAAACTGTAGTTAATAATATTGTATGGGGATTACCTGCATTCAATTTCCTCACATTTTTTTCATTGTAGGTATGCATCATGTTCGATAATTTAATAAATTTTGCAGCGCAGCTCTAATTCTTGTGATCGAGGCTGGGATGGCAAGGTGCGAGTCATCATTATCTTCTTTAAAACACGGGTTAGCATCCAGCCTGGGTGATGTACGCCACGCTCTGGCTGCCCCCAGACACTTGACGCAGGATGGCAATGAATCAACACACCGCCAACTGAACGAACACCTCACACGTCTTGTTGCTGCCACTGCTGCCTCTATCAAGGAGCGTGTCACAGTTTTGCAGGTTTGTTAATTAGATCTGTTTATTGTCTATGAAACTACAGTTGTAGTGCTGTGGTGTATTATAATACATTACTGTAGTACTGTGATGTATTGTAATATAGTGGTGGTTGTGCTGTGGTGTATTATGATGCAGCAGTTGTAATGGTGTGGTGTATTATAACATAGTGGTTGCAGTGGTGGTGTATTATAATACAGTGTTTACCTATTAATGACTATGAGGGAGTGAGATCTAGCTCATGCCCTGCCTCCAAGCTGTTTATACCTGTTGTACTAATTACCTCTATCAACATTACTGTTTTTTATCATATTTTTTTCTTAAAGTTGTAGATGGAATTGGCTTCAACCTCTTCATTGCATTCCACTTGCCAACCACCCATACAGGGAATGAGTGTTCCTTACATCTTTTCAACTCGATTTCTTCCACAGATGTCCTCTTGTCTTACCTCTATTTAATTTAAATAAGCTTCCTTTGTCCACTTTGTCTACTCCTCTCAGGTTCTTGTATGTAATGATCATATTCTCTCTGTTCCTTCTCTCCTCTTAAGGTTCTGAGGATGAGTTCCGAGTTCTTTTAGCCTGTCTAATAGCTTAGGCCTTTCCTATCGCTTTTGATACTAATCTAGTTGCAAATCTCTGAACTTTCCCAAGGTGTGAGTTCCATGCTGGTGTTGCAAACTCAAGTAATGGTCTCACTTAATGCTTTCGCGGTTCAATGATGGTGTTGACGTCATAATACCAAAATACGGAGTAGGCCCAATGACGCAAACGGCATCAAAAATTTAAAAATTTGTAAAAATTCCATTTATTGTTCGAATACTATGGGACTTGTTTTAAAATGCACGCCATCATCTTCCCATGCTCTGTATATCCCACGTGGCATCCCCACCCTGCGAAGAAGGGTTAATACTTGTAAAGGGTGTATGAAGGGTGTTACAAGGAATAGCATCCGGATGAATAACTATTTATAACTTCAGTTATCAGATTCCCAGAATGACAAAAGGACACCTGATCTTAATTCCCTAGAAGACATCCCTTCAGGAACATCAGTAGTCAGAAATAGAGGTGACATTGTTAGAAGTCAAGAAGGATAGGAAGATTGGATTCTGGGTAGCAACCGTATTAGTCGTTGAGATGTAAGTCCCATCCTAACCATTTACTCAGACCTTGAAATTGCACTCTGGAGAATGCAAAAGACTGTGTAGTTTAAAATCTTTACATAAAATACACAAATAATGTACATAAATGTGTTTTTTTTGTATCCTACAATACGGTGTTTGTTAATATTTTATTAATAATGCATCATTAATTTTATTACCCTGCATGAGCTATTTAAGATCCATTATTACTTGTATATTGATTGATACATTGAAAGTTCATTCTTGAATATGTTTTTTAAAGTGATAAGTTATCTAAATAAAGAGGTCTGGTTTGGCCAGATGTAAGTTATTGCACTTGTCTTGAGAAACTGTTTTGATGTGCAATGCATCTCACCACTTGTGTTTACCTCAAATATTCCCCTCACCTGCCTAGTCTCTGACTTGTTCATTTATCAAACATGATTGTGCACTGTGGAATTATTCCTGTTTCCTCCCAAGCACCCACATTCATTTAGGTTTATGGACTCTAATATGTTTTTTCCTATAAGAAATTAAATTTTCTTCAGCATGTGGTTTTACAGGAAAGTAATTCATGTACAGTAGTCAGGGTCGATGGTATGAATAATTAAAGAAATGTGCTGAATTACTCGCCATATGTAGTCAAGGAAAATTAAGTGTCTGACACACCATGTTCCCTGTTCCCATCTAGGCTTTCACCCAGCCCAAACACACATTTGCAGTGCGTGCAGAGTTTCGTCGGCGATTTTGTCGAGAGCTGGTGAGAGAGGGAGTTGTTGTGGCCTTCTTCTTACACATCACAGACACAATGTTCCAGTTCTGCCAGAAGAAGGACAAAGACCCAGTCTTGCTGCTGCTCCTCTCTCGCATGTGTCTTGATTTGCACACTTCCACTGTCCACTACCTAGTAAGTCTTGTACATGGCTAGAATATAGTTACTGTACCATAATCAACATTTATTATTTTAATTATGACATTACCATTCATTATCAGCAGCGGTTCCTACAGTTATTATTACACTTCATTTCTCATTTTCATAAAATTTCTCCTCCACTGCAGTACAAGTACAGATTCTATATTTGTGTTGTTGCCAGCTAAGTTAATTCTGCAAATGGAATTTTATAGGAAAACTATTATATTTACGTGTATTTGTTTGGTTAAACTGGATTTAGAGTTTGTCATCATTAAAGGCATTAGCTTGGAGAGAAATGTAACCATGAGTGGATTACAGAAAAACCATATTTAAGAAATAGCACATGTAATGTAATATTTTAGAAGGCATATGATTGTTTCAGCTTTTCAAACATATTGTGTTCTGTAACATCTTATTTTACAATTGAATATACAGTATATAAATTATATTAATGGAGGTATAAATGTATATTTTCATCACTAATATTTCCATCATCATTTGCAATTTGCTTCCTTGCCAGCTGAGTCACTGTGATGAACAGTTGCAGCTGGAGGACAAGACAGGCCTGACGCACCTTCACACCATCACGGATGGCATGCGAGAGGCAGGTCAAAAACTTCTGAACCATTATGTTCACACACAGGGAGCCTCCATCAGTCAGGTGAAAATCTTTAATTATTTATTGTTGGGAGATAGGCAGGAGCAACAGTTAAGTGTGCTGAAGGAAACATCTCTCAAGAGCAAGTTTTCATTACAGGTTTTGTTTATTCATTCCTCTCAAGGTTTAACCTGCTCATGATGAACTTCTCAAGCATTTCAGCCTGTTTTTGTTACACACGATGATTATTACCTAGTGTTCCAGTTAATGTTATGAGTGTGTGTGTGTGTACTCACCTATTTGTACTCACCTATTTGTGCCTGCAGGATCGAGCATTGACTCTTGGATCCCGCCTTTCTAGCCATAGGTTGTTTACAGCAATGACGCCTGTCCTATTTCCCTATCATATCTAGTTTTAAAATTATGAATAGAGTTTGCTTCCACAACCTGCTCCTTAAGTGCATTCCATATTTCCACTACTCTCACTCTAAAAGAAAATTTCCAAACATCTATGTGACTCATCTGAGTTTCCAGCTTCTACCCATGTCCCCTCGTTCTGTTAGTATTCCGCTTGAACATTTTGTCTATTTTCACTTTGACAATTCCCCTGAGTATTTTATACGTTCTTATCATATCCCCCCCCCCCCTTCTCCCTTCTATTGTCGTTAAGTTCAGTTTCTTCAGGCGCTCTTCATATCCCATTGGATACGATGGGATATGAAGAATGGAGCATCTGGCACCAGCAAGAATAATAGAGGGCAGAAGAGCTCTACTATCAAAGGTGATTTTAACAACTTGAAGGGGCTGACAGCGACGACCACAAGGGGGTCGAGTAAATGTGTCCACCTGGAGGACAGAATGGCCTTGGGCTTTGAGGATATGTTTAATATCCTCATTGCAATCTTTGAGGTCCCGAACACCAGTTGCAACATTGTGTGGGAGGAGAACAGTGCCAACACTGGCATTTTACCGAGCGTTTTTGGAGACCCAAACAGGGGTCTCTCCAATGCAGAACAAAGCAGCTAAGCGAGTAGCTGCATCCTGAGAAGGAGCAGTGACGACACGCGTATCGTAACTGGTGGAGTTAAAAGTAACAGAGGCATCTACTGAATCAACTTGGTGTTTATGGAGGGAGAAATCGTCAGGAGGAGTAGAATCCAGATGGTGGAGATAAAAGTATTTAGCCCACGTAGCGGGACCAAACAAGGTGTTGTAAGTATTAGTACAGGAGGGGCCTCGTAGCCTGGTGGATAGCGCGCAGGACTCGTAATTCTGTGGCGCGGGTTCGATTCCCGCACGAGGCAGAAACAAATGGGCAAAGTTTCTTTCACCCTGAATGCCCCTGTTACCTAGCAGTAAATAGGTACCTGGGAGTTAGTCAGCTGTCACGGGCTGCTTCCTGGGGGTGGAGGCCTGGTCGAGGACCGGGCCGCGGGGACACTAAAGCCCCGAAATCATCTCAAGATAACCTCAAGATAGGAGGGGATCGTGCGAGTGTGGCCGTGGCGGGGTTTTCAACGGCGTTGAAAACCCCCAGAGAGAAAGAGAGAGAGAGGGTAAAAGGTGCAGTAGTCACAATGAGAGATGGAGCCGTGCTAGGGGACGAAGTGGTCACCAATGGGGGCTGGGAACCCGACCCTACCGCAGAGGAGGGAGGGGAGTAGTCAGGGGGTCGGGGCCCAATGCAGCGGGGGCTACAGGGCCTGGTCTTCCAACACAGTCCGACTCGGGGGGCTTAGAATATCACATAGAATATCTGCTGATTTTTAAATTACAAATCTTATACATTTAAAACTGGTTCACATTAGTAATTTCATGTTTGGCATGTGGATTGGCTCATCTCTATTCACCCAGAGCCGGTCGGCCGAGCCAACAGCATGCTGGACTTGTGATCCTGTGGTCCTGGGTTCGATCCCAGGCGCCGACGAGAAACAATGGGCAGAGTTTTTTCACCTTATGCCCCTGTCACCTAGCAGTAAAATAGGTACCTGGGTGTTAGTCAGCTGTCACGGGCTGCTTCCTGGGGGTGGAGGCCTGGTCGAGGACCGGGCCGCGGGGACACTGAAAAGCCCCGAAATCATCTCAAGATAACCTCAAGATAACCCCTTAATGTATTTATTTTGTATAAAACCTGCTCTCCATGCAGATGTTGCGCCGCAGTGTTGAGCTGAAGGACTGGCTGGGATGTGGAGAGCCACGTAGTGTCCGTAGAGTAATGCGAACAGTCCTCGACGAGATCACTACTATGGACACACAGGTAAGTTGGAAGACAAAATTGATTTTCTCTTCGACTTTTATGGGCATTAATTTTAGTTTACAGAAAAATGTTAGTACTGTACTAGAATGTAAATTTATTGAATAAAGAGCAGGTCTTCAGGTATTAGAATGGTTTGGGGAAGCATACCTAAATTTCATAGGCTCCCCCCCTCCCCCCAAGCTATGGTACTAATTTTCAATTGGTGAAGTTTTAAAGGACCAGCATTATGAATTTTAACAAAAAGTTACATTCAGAGCTAAATGTTATAATTTATTATACAGTGGTACCTCAGAATACGAGTGTCCCTGAATACGAGTTTTTCGGAATACGAGCAGGATTTGCTCGGAAAATGTGCCTTGGAAGGCAAGGGTTACCTCGGAACACAAGTTCGTTGGTATGCGTACAGGCCGACCTAGCGCGTGGTGGTACAGCGATCGTCGCCCCTCCGCCCTTCAGTTTACCAGTGCCTCGTGCCCAGTGACTATCCAACGTCAATTCTTCACCCGGATTTTCAGTGTTTTGTTGGATTCTTGGTCATTTGACCATAAAAGTTATTATATATATCTCACCATGGGTCCCAAGAAAGCCAGTGGTAAGGATCAAGGCAAGAAAGCCCATGTGAGGATGACAATAGAGGAGAAACAAAGAGATCATTCGGGAGCATGAAAATGGTACACGTGTTATTGAACTTTGTAGGCAGTACAACAAAGCCACATCAACAATATGCACTATACTTAAGAAGAAAAAGGACATTATAAGTGCTAAAGTGGCAAAAGGCGTAAGAACAATGACGAAACAAAGACCACAAATACTTGAAGAAGTGGAAAAGTTGCTATTAATTTGGATACACGACAAGGAGTTAAAGGGTGATAGTGTTTCGGAGGCCATCATTTGTGAGAAAACTAGGGTATTGCAGGAAGACCTTGTAAAGAAAATCCCTGGAATGAGTGATGCAGATACGAAAGAGTTTAAGGCAAGCAGGGGCTGGTTTGAAAAATTTAGAAAAAGAAGTGGTATCCATAGTACATTGCTATCCATTGCGAGGCATGGGGAGGTAGCCAGCTCAGACAAACCAGCCGCTGAACGATTTATTGAAGAATTTAAAGAGTTTGCAGAGGCTGAGGGATACCTACCGCAACAAGTGTTTAATTGTGACGAAACAGGACTGTTCTGGAAAAGATTGCCTAAGAGGACATACATTTACCAAGGAGGAAAAATACTTGCCCGGACACAAGCCTATGAAAGATAGGTTTATGCTTGTGCTGTGTTCAAATGCGAGTAGGGATTTTAAAATTAAACCCTTGCTAGTGTATCATTCTGAAAATCCAAGGGTTTTCAAACAGTATAAAGTGCAGAAAACCCAAATGTGTGTGATGTGGAAGGCTAATAAAAAGGCATGGGTGACTAAGATTTTTTTTGCAGAGTGGGTGAATGAAGTGCTGTGCCCTGCCATAGAAAAATATCTGCAGGAGAAACATTTGCCACTCGAGGCCCTGCTTCTCCACGACAATGCTCCTGCTCATCCTCCAGGATTGGAAGATGAATTGATGCACAGATACAGTAAATTTCTCACAATAAAGTTCCTTCCTTCTAACACCACTCCTCTAATTCAGCCTATGGACCAGAAAATCATAGCGAATTTTAAGAAACTGTATGAAAGGGCACTTTTCCGGAAATGTTTTGAAGTGACTGAAGCCACAAACCTCACTCTCAAAGAGTTCTGAAAAGACCATTTTAACATTTGTAGTTCTTTAAAATGCATTGACAAAGCCTAGCAAGAAGTGACTCAAAGAACCCTGATCTCTGGCTTGAGAAAATTGTGGCCTGAATGTGTGACAGAACTAGACTTTGAGGGGTTTGAGCCTGTAAATGATGCGCCTATTTGTTGAGGAAATTGTTACTCTGGGCCGGCAAATGGGCTTGGAATTGGATGGTGATGATGTGGAGGAGTTGGTGGAAGAACACAACGAAGAACTCCAAGCCCTTCAAAAGGAACAGCAAGACGACCCAGCTGATGATGATTCTCCAGTGGAAGAGGAGGAGGTAGTAGCGAATGTCCCTTCTGCAGAAATTAAGAAGGTGTGTCAGATGTGGAAAGAGATTCAAACTTTTATTGAAAAGACTCGCCCAGAGAAAGCTGTAGTAGGCCGTTGCCTTAATCTTTTCAATGACAATGTGATGCCTTACTACAGAGACAGCTTCGAAGAAGGGAAAAACAAGCTTCCATGGACAGATTTGTTGTGAGAAAATCAAGCAGTGAGCCACAACCAGGACCTAGTGGTACTCGGGTAAAACGTGCCAGGGAGTGCACACCAGAAAGGTCCTCACTGCCTGATGTTATAATGGAAGGGGACTCCCCTTCCAAACAGTAACACCTCTCCTTCCTCCCTCCTCACCATCTTCCATATGACTACAGCATTCAACAACAAGGGTAAGTAATGACTTGAACATAGTTTTGTAGGTTTGTTTAGATGAATTAGGTATAAAATTTAGTTTGAAGTGGGGTTTTTGGGGTAGTCAGGAACGGATTAATTCATTTCCCATTACTGTATTTCTTATGGGGAAATTAGCTTCGGAATACGAGTTTTCGGAATACGAGCTGTCTCCAGGAACGGATTAAACTCTTAAATCGAGGTACCACTATATTGTGTTTAAGGATTGAGATATGCACCAATATCTATATTGTTATATTGCATTTGTAAAGGAGTTTAATGTCGACTTTTTGCAAGCAGTGGTGGGAGACATTGTGCCACAAACATACAATCAGTGATGTATTTAATGGTGTGGCAGGGGCTACAGGATACAATAAAACAAAGTCAGCATAGAAAACAGGGATAACTAAACTAGATAATTATTGTTATTAATTGTAATGGGACAGAAAAAATTATCCCCATCATTACAATACAGTTTTCTGCCAGGATTGATTGTATTTTAGCTATGGTTGATCTATATACAATACATGTGCATTAAGTTATATGAGTCAGATTTTAGACTTGATTCAGTTTTATATTAACAAAAGTGATTGTTATGCTCCTTTACAAAATCAACTTTCCAAAGTTATTATCAACAATCATCAGTACTGTGACCCAGAACGCGGGTAAACTGAAATCTGCATAAACTTTCAGGTTGGGGCCCTGTATGAAGAAGGAAACCGGCAAGACAGGTCTTCTGATTCATCTCGCCGCACATTCCACAGGTGACCTTAGTTGTTATAGTTTCATCTTCTTGACCCTTCTAAGCGTGGCTCTATGTATATATAGTGCATTAAATAACTTAGAGAAAGCAATCTGTTGGATTATGTTATCTCTTTATATAAAATATTTCCTACATTACGTGCCAGGAAGGTCATTTTCTCCTTATGACAGATTTCTTTGTATAGTACAATAATTTTTGAATGATTATTAATAATTTACTCGCTAGTGTAAATGCTTGCCGTGGAGGAACTGGTGGTCGCTCGGCTTGGTCGTCCTACACTCCAAGTCAACTGGACAATAGCCTGGTTGCTAACCTCAACAAACTCTGGTCAGAACGCATTGAAATATTTGCTCCTGTTGAATTTACCAGGGTCTCAATTTTAACTGGAATTGTTAAAATCAGTCTTAAGGTAATTATCACATTTCATAAACATGTAATATTCATTTGTTTTTAAATTTCTATTAAATTGTTCTTGACCATCTGATATCTTTATACCACATTTTCTCATAATACAGTACATCTGTTGCCTTAATTATGTTGTGCCTTTTCCTCCTTTGTATTAGGTTTAAATAGTTTCTCCAACTTGCTAATACTACTGTTCTGACTTCACACGGGGTAGTTTTACTAAAATAGATTAGTAATTCTTGTATTTGCTTTAATAGTAATTCAGTACCAAAGCAATAGTATATGTATAAAGATAACAGCTGCTCAGTATATGTAACAGCATTTGTAGAATGGACATTCATATCTCCTTTCTTTTTCCAGACACTGCTGGAGAGTGTGCGTTTACGCACTTTTAGCAGGTTTGGCCTACAGCAGGTCCAAGTAGATGCCCACTTCCTACGGACATACCTCTGGTCTTATGTAGCAGACGAGCATGTTTTGAATGTCCTGCTGGATGAAGTTGTGACCTCGGCAAGTGTTCGGTGTTGTGATCCTGAATTAATGGAACAGCGGGTGGTGGAATTTATCTGTGACCAGAACTAAAAAATTGACTGCTGCATTTAGGAAAACTATAGCCAAGCAGTGGCAACACACTGCTATGTTGCAAAACAGTGACTACAGTGTTGCTGTAGGCAAGAAACAGTAAAACACTTTTGTTGCCATGGGGTACCCAAGCAGTGACAACACAAATTATGTGCTAGGATTGGTGAACAGTGATATATATATATTATATATATATATATATATATATATATATATATATATATATATATATATATATATATATATATATATATATATATATATATTTATATTATTTTTTTGTATAGTATAAAGAAGCAAATGAATTAGAGCTATTGTTATAATTTATTTAGAGAAATTTGCTACAATACTGTAGTCTTTGAATGAAGAAAAAAACCCCAATACTTGTGCTAATGTTATTAAACCAAATTTTTCGTTAAACCTACACCCTTTATGAAAGTGCTGCAAATATTGGATTGAACAAAGATTCTAAGTGCTTGCATTTATATGTCTGGCAGAGTGGTTCACGTGGCATCCCTCATTAGACTTTTTATGATTATACTCTCCAGGGATTCCCCAATTGATGATAAAGCTTCCGATGAATGGTCAAATGTCCTGGTTTCTTGGAACTGTGGAAAGCTTATCACAGGAACAATATTCCCAATTTGAATACAAGGTTTGTGCTTATATGAATTAATGAAATTAGTTAATTTAGCTTCATTAAGAATAATTTTGCTGTAAATCTTATTTACTTTCCTAAAAGACTTGTTGCCCTTTAATGCATCCTTTTGAATCTATAATTACCCCTTCTAGTGGCATCTCTGGGGGAGTAGGCAACTACCCCCACAAGCAGGGGAAGTAGTTGAATGAAGTGTTGCTTGTTTGTTTTCTTTGAGGGAGTTCTTTTGCTCTTTTGAGGACATAGGTCACTTTTTTCAACCCAACAGTGGTCTGTTTAGTTTCACCTACCTTTCTGGGTGCCATCCATGTAGATGACAAGTGTACTATAAACAAAGTACTATTAGTTGTGTAAAGTGTACTATACTTTACATTTAAAGTGTTTATTGGTCATTGCTCTCTTCGCGCCTCTGAGGGGGCCAGGTTCTGGCTCTGGTCCCCGGTAGGAACAAAAACTCTGATGACCCCAAATAGGATAGCACTATATAAGTGGGATAACTTCAGGGAGCCTCCAGGGCTCGTGCAGAAACTGGCATTTCTTTACATTCAAAACTGTTTTGTTTTTTGTAAATACCATGCAATATAAAGGCACCACCTTCCCCTTTAGTTTCCACCACTAATAGTGTAGTAATAAGAGGGTTGGGGATAAACATGTATGCAATATTAGATAATGTATCCCACACCACTACATGTGTTACTTTGTCAGTAGCAGCCTTATCCCAATAGGCACAATATCCAAAAGTAGTGTTGATTTGACGTTAATAATAATAATCATTGATTCAACATTTATCAGGTAGCAAAAAATATGTATGCATACTTCCCGTCAAATATTACTGTGGGAGTTTACACACTAGTAGATATCCCTATATATGCAGAAAAACCACATGTGAAAAATTGAGAATGCTTAACACGTTTTCGGCTAATTCGCCTTCATCAGAGCAAAGTAGAATGAAGGTTGGAAACATTGCTGATCAGACCTTTATACCCGCCAGGGCAGATCACCTGACCACCACGAATAGATGAAGGAAAGGAAATATAAGAAGGAAGGTAACTGCAGAAGGCCTATTGGCCCATACGAGGCAGTTCCTATTAATAGACCCCAAGTGCCATACGGGTTAAATGGATGCTATATTGTTTTGACGTGCTATATTGAGGCTTATATAAGGATCCAACTTGTACATACCAGGGCTCACATTAAGGCTGTTGTTACAATGTTTGATGAGAGCAGACTCGATCACATTTCGTTCAATGAAACTGTTACTTTTAACAATACATTTTGCCCCTGTGAAGTCGATAGAATGATCGCATAAACTGGAATGTAAATACAATGCACTGGAGTGCTGGGCTGTACGAATAGCATATAAATGCTGTTTTAAACGCGAGGAAAGAGATTTACCCGTCTGGCTGATGTAAACACATGCACACTCATTACAAGGGATGGAGTACACACAGCAACACTGGGGGGGGGGGGTAAGAACAACACTGGAAGGGGGTAAGAACAACACTGGAAGGGGGTAAGAACAACACTGGGGGGGGTAAGAACAACACTGGGGGGGGTAAGAACAACACTGGGGGGGTAAGAACAACACGGGGGGTAAGCACAACACTGGGGGGGGGGTAAGAACAACACTGGGGGGGTAAGAACAACACTGGGGGGGGGGGGTAAGAACAACACTGGGGGGGTAAGAACAACACTGAGGGTAAGAACAACACTGGGGAGGGGTAAGAACAAAAATGGGGGGTAAGATCAGCACTGGGGGGGGGTAAGAACAACACTGGGGGGGGGTAAGATCAACACTGGGGGGGGGGGTAAGAACAACACTTGGGGGGGGGGGGGTAAGAACAACACTGGGGGGGGGTAAGAACAACACTGGGGGGGTAAGAACAACACTGGGGGGGTTAGAACAACACTGGGGGGGTAAGAACAACACTGGGGGGTAAGAACAACACTGGGGGGGTAAGAACAACACTGGGGGGGTAAGAACAACACTGGGAGGGTAAGAACAACACTGGGGGGGGGTAAGAACAACCCTGGGGGGTAAGAACAACACTGGGGGGGTTAGAACAACACTGGGGGGGTAAGAACAACACTGGGGGGGTAAGAACAACACTGGGGGGGGTAAGAACAACACTGGGGGGGGTAAGAACAACACTGGGGGGGTAAGAACAACACTGGGGGGGTAAGAACAACACTGGGGGGGGGGGTAAGAACAACACTGGGGGGGGGGTAAGAACAACACTGGGGGGGTAAGAACAACACTGGGGGGTAAGAACAACACTGGGGGGGGTAAGAACAACACTGGGGGGGTAAGAACAACACTGGGGGGGTAAGAACAACACTGGGGGGGTAAGAACAACACTGGGGGGGTAAGAACAACACTGGGGGGGTAAGAACAACACTGGGGGGGTAAGAACAACACTGGGGGGGTAAGAACAACACTGGGGGGTAAGAACAACACTGGGGGGGTAAGAACAACACTGGGGGGTAAGAACAACACTGGGGGGGGGGGGGGTAAGAACAACACTGGGGGGTAAGAACAACACTGGGGGGGTAAGAACAACACTGGGGGGTAAGAACAACACTGGGGGGGTAAGAACAACACTGGGGGGTAAGAACAACACTGGGGGGGTAAGAACAACACTGGGGGGGGGGGTAAGAACAACAAAGAACAACACTGGGGGGGTAAGAACAACACTGGGGGGGGTAAGAACAATACTGGGGGGGGTAAGAACAACACTGGGGGGGGGGGGGGTAAGAACAACACTGGGGGGTAAGAACAACACTGGGGGGGTAAGAACAACACTGGGGGGTAAGAACAACACTGGGGGGTAAGAACAACACTGGGGGGGGTAAGAACAACACTGGGGGGGTAAGAACAACACGGGAGGGGTAAGAACAACACTGGGGGGTAAAAACAACACTGGGGGGAGTAAAAACAACACTGGGGGGGAGTAAGAACAACACTGGGGGGGTAAGAACAACACTGGGGGGGTAAGAACAACACTGGGGGGTAAGAACAATACTGGGGGGGGTAAGAACAACACTGGGGGGGGTAAGAACAACACTGGGGGGGTAAGAACAACACTGGGGGGGTAAGAACAACACTGGGGGGTAAGAACAACACTGAGGGGGTAAGAACAACACTGGGGGGGTAAGAACAACACGGGAGGGGTAAGAACAACACTGGGGGGTAAAAACAACACTGGGGGGTAAAAACAACACTGGGGGGGAGTAAGAACAACACTGGGGGGGTAAGAACAACACTGGGGGGGGTAAGAACAACACTGGGGGGATAAGAACAACACTGGGGGGGGTAAGAACAGCACTGGGGGGGTAAGAACAACACGGGGGGGGTAAGAACAACACTGGGGGGGTAAGAACAACACTGGGGGGGTAAGAACAACACTGGGGGGGTAAGAACAACACTGGGGGGGTAAGAACAACACTGGGGGGGGTGGTAAGAACAACACTGGGGGGGTAAGAACAACACTGGGGGGGTAAGAACAACACTGGGGGGGGGTAAGAACAACACTGGGGGGTAAGAACAACACTGGGGGGGTAAGAACAACACTGGAGGGGGGTAAGAACAACACTGGAGGGGGTAAGAACACTGGGGGGGGGGGTAAGAACAACACTGGGGGGGTAAGAACAACACTGGGGGGGGTAAGAACAACACTGGAGGGGGGTAAGAACAACACTGGAGGGGGGTAAGAACACTGGGGGGTAAGAACACTGGTGGGGTAAGAACAACACTGGGGGGGGTAAGAACAACACTGGGGGGGGGGTAAGAACAACACTGGGGGGTAAGAACAACACTGGGGGGGTAAGAACAACACTGGGGGGGTAAGAACAACACTGGGGGGGTAAGAACAACACTGGGGGGGTAAGAACAACACTGGGGGGTAAGAACAACACTGGAGGGGGGTAAGAACAACACTGGGGGGGGTAAGAACAACACTGGGGGGGTAAGAACAACACTGGGGGGGGTAAGAACAACACTGGGGGGGTAAGAACAACACTGGGGGGGGGTAAGAACAACACTGGGGGGTAAGAACAACACTGGGGGGTAAGAACAACACTGGGGGGGTAAGAACAACACTGGGGGGGTAAGAACAACACTGGGGGGTAAGAACAACACTGGGGGGGTAAGAACAACACTGGGGGGGTAAGAACAACACTGGGGGGGTAAGAACAACACTGGGGGGGTAAGAACAACACTGGGGGGTAAGAACAACACTGGGGGGGTAAGAACAACACTGGGGGGGTAAGAACAACACTGGGGGGGTAAGAACAACACTGGAGGGGGGTAAGAACAACACTGGTTGGTAAGAACAACACTGGGGGGGTAAGAACAACACTGGGGGGGTAAGAACAACACTGGGGGGGGTAAGAACAACACTGGGGGGGTAAGAACAACACTGGGGGGTAAGAACAACACTGGGGGGGTAAGAACAACACTGGGGGGGTAAGAACAACACTGGGGGGGTAAGAACAACACTGGAGGGGGGTAAGAACAACACTGGGGGGGTAAGAACAACACTGGGGGGGTAAGAACAACACTGGGGGGGTAAGAACAACATTGGGGAGTAAGAACAACACTGGGGGGGGTAAGAACAACACTGGGGGGGTAAGAACAACACTGGGGGGGGTAAGAACAACACTGGGGGGGGTAAGAACAACACTGGGGGGGGTAAGAACAACACTGGGGGGTAAGAACAACACTGGGG